TTTGGGACTCCACCTTTCACATCGCAAATACAGGTGATTTAGAGATATCCGGGGCTCATCCCTAGGGTTAAGGAGTTTGTGACTTGTGCAATGCTCTTAAGGTGTCTGGCCACACTTTATCTGCACCTTTTAGCCTAACACAATCGATTTCAGCAAAACTCTAGTCACCTTTTACTATATGCTTGTTAATGGAGCAGTGGACTGTATTTGTCCCCCCAAAATGAAGCCCAAGAATAAACATGGGGAGCAATGGATATTTCAGCCAAAGACATGAATTCATTATTTTTTGTAGTTTGTTGATGAACACTATACAACAGTATCTCCATTAGCACTACTAAAACAGATCTGATTTCCATCAGAGATGCCTAATGCATTATATCCTGCAGGTAGAGGTCTTGTTTGTTGGACATTTTATAGAGAATTTCTGTTTCAGAATGCACTGTGTGTGAATGTCTCTTGCGTAAACAAACCGGGATGTTGCTATTCATATCTATCACAGCTTGATGAGTTCATTCCCTTTAAAATGCTGGTACCACATACACAACTTGTCACAGCATCAGGGTGGTAGGACATTTTACAATGCAGTCACTTTTAACAACATATTCATTACAATGGAACCACACTACTAGGACACATTACAATGAAACCATTTTACTAAAACATACTATAGTAGAATTAATTACAGGCAAACATTGCAGTGAAACTATCTGACTGGGAAACATTATATTAGAATTGCATTAGTGGCACAAAATCCAAGGAAACCACTACACTAGGACACATAAATTACAGTGGAGTCACTTTACTGGGACAAATTACAGTGGAGTCACTTTACTGCAATTCATTGCAATGAAGTCACTTTACTGGGACACACAAATTACAGTGGAGTTACTTTACTGGACAAATTACAGTGGAGTCACTTTACTACAATACATTACAATGAAGTCACTTTACTGGGACACACTAATTATAGAGGAGTTACTTTACTGCAATTCACTACAATGAAGTCACTTTACTGGGACACACTAATTATAGAGGAGTTACTTTACTGTGACAAATTACAGTGGAATCACTTTACTGGTACATGTTACAGTGGAGTCACTTTACTGAGACAAATTACAATGCAGTCACTAAAAAATACCGCAGAAACAGCTTGTTACAGCACATGTGAATAAAAAATGTCCCATGTTGAGTATTGAACAAAAATATTTTAATTCTTTTACTATTACAGACTCAAGGAATCCATGGGTGTATCCATTTACACCCGGAATGAGAATTAAATTGTACAAGTTAAGCTTAGTGACTTAGAATCCAGAACACTAGATAAAGATATGGAACAAAATAGACAAAACAAGGCACTGAACGGGAAGTTGCAGAGGGAGAAGAAAAGGCTGTTGGAATGGCTGAAGGTTGCTAGGTTTGTTCAACACAAATCATGTGAACAAGCCTACAGTATTTACAAATTAAACAAATTAAAAAGTCACAGTACATCTTCAATTTACTCATAGTAACAAATAACTTTATAATTTACTGGCCAAGCAAAATATAAAAAATACTCCTCTAAATTAATAACAATATTTTGTTATCAATACAGTATTATGATGTCAAATTTTCATTAAAAAATAAAATAATTTGTGGTAATCTGTGGAAATGTGTGAGGGATTGGGGGGGGGGGGGGGGGGGGGGGGGGGGGGGGGGTCTGTACATCATCCTAAAAAAACATGATGTGTTTGTCAGGGCTCAGACAGCCTGAATGGCAACCACCACATATCAGACTTCAGCATTATAACTCAGTTTCATACAAATGACACCTAGTTCCTAAGGCATGCTGGTTGCTGGACCAGACACAATCTCCACCATCCATTCTACGAGAGTGACAACCTGTATGAGGGGCAGATCTCTCCTCTGCTGTCTATTATTTTCTTGGAACACTCATTTTTTTGCGGTGGATGGTAATGGCAGGGCGTTTGAAAACAGATGTTTCTTTATTATGAACCCCCACCATCCCAACCCAAAACAAATTCACACATATAAACAACACAGGTCCATTGTCATCACCTGTTTCCCATCTAGGCTGCTACCTCAAGGTCTGAACACCCCAAGATGACAAAATGTGGATGGCAAGCCAACAGGGCGAATCCCAGAAACCCCATACAACTTCTAAAGAAAGTTATTACTGTGTCAACCCTACCGTCTCAAACAGCTGGCTGTAAGCTGTGGTCCTGTGCAGGCAAGGAACATAATCTAACAAACAGAAATATACAAATGAACAGCTCTGATATGTGATAATCATCATTATCATCAAGTGCCTTGTTGACTGGCACTGGCAATAAAGCCTCTTCAAAATCTGTGACCTTCAACAGCATGTATTAGTTCATGTGTTGACACCCCTCAATAACATGAGAAAAGTCCATCAGGAATTGTCTTGGGTTGTCTTCTGTTGTGTCTTTTTCCACAGATCTTTTCAGTAGTCACATGTTTCAGTTTCCTTTTTTTCTCTCATAACACGAAGAAAACTGTTACAGTTGTCTTTTCATGATGTTTGTGATAAGTTGTCTTCGACCCCTCACCTTTTTCAAAACAGTCAGGTTGCTCTCTATGACTGTCCAAGGAAACTGAAATTACATACAGCATTGATTTCCTTTCATTATAGCCAATCCTTGAATTGATTCATTTATGCTGTCTGTTCTTGACTTTAAAAAGTTCTTGGCAATTAAATATCTTATTTTTTAACTAAGCCAACTATCTCCTGTGAAATGTGACCTTTTCACCATTGTCAAGAAAAGAAAACAATCTCAGACAGGACTAAATCCAAATAGTTAACTTCACCTGTGATAAACTAGACACATATAATAATACGCATTGGACAGAAATGAGATTTAGAATATTTAGGTCAGTAGTGCACAACAATGGCAGCTGCACAAAAGAAGTCAGAAAAAAAAGTCACTTTAACAATGCAGAGGCAAAACATCTTGAAGAACCTATGGCACAGACCTGCAAGCATGTGAAAGTAACAATGAAAGTAAAAATTCTGAGATTGTGCTTCTTCCTGTGGCAATGCGTGGATGTGAGCAGGGACTCTTAATAATACAGGAAAAATTAGAATATTTGAACTGAAATTTAAACAGAATAATTCTTAGAATTCCATGCCCCAGGAGGAAGAAAAACTCTGACATCTTGCATGTTGCAGGATAAGCGTAGAAGAAATACCGAGAAATATAGAAATCGGAGGTATTTTGGTCACGTTAAATGTCATAGTCACTTTGAGAGAACAAGCAGGCCTCTGCCAAGATGGATACAAGACATTGAACATGCATTAGCCAAGACAGCACACAGGCCTAGAGAATTGGTTACAGAAAGAGAGACTTTTAGGTGCGCTGTGATAAGAGAGACTTTTAGGTGTGCTGTGACAAGAGACTTTCAAGTGTGCTGTGACAAGAGAGACTTTCAAGTGTGCTGTGACAAGAGAGACTTTCAAGTGTGCTGTGACAAGAGAGACTTTCAAGTGGGCTGTGACAAGAGAGACTTTCAAGTGTGCTGTGACAAGAGAGACTTTCAAATGTGCTGTGACAAGAGAGACTTTCAAGTGTGCTGTGACAAGAGAGACTTTCAAGTGTGCTGTGACAAGAGAGACTTTCAAGTGGGCTGTGACAAGAGAGACTTTCAAGTGTGCTGTGACAAGAGAGACTTTCAAATGTGCTGTAACAAGAGAGACTTTCAGGTGTCCTGTGACAAGAGAGTCTTTCAGGTGTGCTGTGACAAGAGAGACTTTCGGGCGTGCTCTGACAAGAGAGACTTTCGGGCGTGCTGTGACAAGAAAGACTTTCAGGTGTGCTGTGAAAAGAGAGTCTTTCAGGTGTGCCGTGACAAGAGAGACTTTAGGGCGTGCTGTGACAAGAGAGACTTTCAAGTGTGCTGTGACAAGAGAGACTTTCAGGTGTGCCGTGACAAGAGAGACTTTCAGGTGTGCTGTGACAAGAGAGACTTTCAAGTGTGCTGTGACAAGAGAGACTTTCAGGTGTGCTGTGACAAGAGAGACTTTCAGGTGTGCTGTGACAAGAGAGACTTTCAGGCGTGCCGTGACAAGAGAACTTTCAGGTGTGCTGTGACAAGAGAGACTTTCAAGTGTGCTGTGACAAGAGAGACTTTCAGGTGTGCCGTGACATGAGAGACTTTTAGGTGTGCCGTGACAAGAGACTTTCTGTAAAGGACCTGCTGATTAACAATGAGACAGAAATAAACTAATCATATATGAAATGTGTTTGAAGTCCTTTTTTGCATTTTGAAATCAACATATAAAAAAAAAAAATACATATACCACTTTTATCAATTTAAAACTTGTGTATTATCAAATCTATTTTGTCTTTCGACTTTTTGGCTTAAGAGCCAGTCCAGATTATGATCTTCCACAATGGATACAACAACAACAATCACCAAAATAGCATTGATGATTCAATATTAAAATAACTATGCACTTGTCTGATGTTAACGTTAACAACACTGGTAAAACAACTCTGCAATTATCTAAAATACAAGTTTAAACAGATTTTTTAAACAACTCTGCAGTTGTATGATATACAAGTTTAAAAAGCAACTGTTATAACAGCTTGCATTTGTCTGATAACAAGTTAAAAATAGAACTGTCAAAACAACCTTGCACTTGTTTGACATAGTTTAAAAAAAACTGTTAACACAACACTGCACATTTCTGATACACAATTTTTAAACAAATGTTTAAACAGCTCTGCACTTGTCTGAAACATAGGTCAACAACACAATCTCAGAATGCCAATATCAATGCTCATCTCTGAAATATTTCTCGCACACTGACACAAATAGGACATATTCATAACCATTTCTACTGATTTATCTCTTATAGGCTCTGCGATATAATAACTGTAACAATTTCCTTATGTGGACACTGCTATGTACTAACCAAAACAATTTCCACTCAAAATGTTTTTTTTTAAAACTATCTCAAAATAGAAAAAAAATTAATGGTATCAGATGTAGAAGATGCGAACCTTGGACACACTGACCACTGTATCTCCATCAAAGAAACGTGTCTCTATAACCACGTTGCCACTGAAATGTACACAGTTAAGGAGACATGATTCAAATGCTAAAGGAACAACAACAGAATTCAAAGATAAACAATAATAATTCAATGTAGGTGAGACATTTAATGAAGTACAGATGAATGGTTTAACTTATCAGACAAGAATCTGCCATGAATATATTTTAACTAAATGAGATATCAATTCATAACTTGGCCAACATTGACCTGCCCATTCCCAACATGCCTAAATGGCCCAGGCAAAATATCCTTGTGACTCTCACCCACTGCGACCTCTGGATTGTTGCGACCCATTCCATGCGAAGAAACCCTGACTCAACCTGCCTAAGTATGCTTTGTTAATCTGATGACAACATACACATGTCTCCGCTCATCAGAATGCCACAGTTACCCTTCAACTTGAGTCATCCTTCTACCCCATGCATTTGTGAAGAAGAAGAAGAAGAACAACAACAACAAGAACAAGAAGAAAAGGCCTAAAAAGTAAGCAATTCTTGTAACCCTCTTAATCCTAGTCAGTTGTGGCACAAGCAACTATTTTAATGAACAATAAACACAGAAAACAATCTCTGAGGTGAGATGATGTTGGTGGTGATTGAATAATCATGACAAAACAGTCACAAAACAGGCTGCACCTCATGTTCATCTAAATGTCAATGACTGAATGAAAATATCAATGTGATAGGCTAATGAAGAAAAACAGGAATTAGGATTGTGCATTATGTTAAGCAAAATAGTGAAGAAACTTGTGTGGCTTCACTACGTAATATTCCCAAAGACATCAGCTGGGTAGTGTGGTCAACTTTAATTGTGAAGATTGCACACAAATAAAAAGGAACCTATTTTGATGTGGCCTCCAGTTTACATGAGGAACGCATTGGTCCCCATAAAGTATACTTTACATGAGAAAGACATCATTCAGTCATTCCCTAGAATAGAAAAGGGTGTCTCAAAGTGAGAGGACTAACTTCCCATAACCAGTTCTATTACAGATGGATTAACTTCTCTCAGCAGTACACTGGGCTACCTGCTGAAAGAGCGAAGCAAACCATGAACTCTGTGGCTCCAGTGATGATCCCCCAAAATCTCAGAAAATGGGATTAATGAATTGTATGGGTAAGTTATGAGTTTATTTATCTTCACAGCACTCTGGACACATTCACGGGTGCTCAGATTCCCCCTTCAACATATATATTGCGGCTAATACTGCCAATCCTCTGCTTGTTGACAAGGCTTCTCGTACGCTTAGTGTGCCTATCGTGCCTAGCTGGGCCAATCTGTACTCCTACTTCTCACATTCTTAGCAGCGATGTGGATGAACAGCTCTCTGCTGTATGAACATGAACCCATGACTTTCAGGGAACATGGCTAACAACTTGACCTCTTCACCAGGAAAATCTCTGGATGTTTTTCCCTAATATACAAAAGTAGAGGAAAAAGACAGAAAGAGTACATTTTTTTTAAAAAAAAATGAATTAAAATTATCTTCAGGGAACAATAAAACACAGCTGAGATGTAAGAATGTTTCCCTAACATATAAAAATAGATGAAGAAAATGTAAAGAACATTTTAAACAAAACATGACTAGAATGATCTTTGGGAACTGGATGTACGTTTTCAGACTTCAAAGCCTCTAGTAGAAGAGTGGAAGAAAACAAAGAAATAAAAATTACTTCACACTGTAGGGAAGTTGCTTAGTAGAAACAGCAAAAGAAATGCAGACATCAAAATACTGTGACTTGTTTGTTCTGAAGTCAAGACAAAATTCTGGAAGAAAAGATAGCAAATTACTGCAAACTGTATCAAAGGTAAAGAAAAGGCAATGGCATTGGAATAGGACACAATTTGAGAAAATCTGAGAACAATCTAACTAGAATGTCTTTGCACTGGAACCAACATGGGCATAGAAAGAAAGGAAGACCAAAACACATATGGAGAAAGGAGCTAGAGAGTGACATTGAAAAGATGGGGATGACATGGGGAAAGCTGCATGATAGCCAAAGATAGAATGACCTGGCAGGAGCTGGTTGATGGCCTATGCTCCAAGACAAGCAGAAGAAGTATCAAAGATTTTTAGTAAAAATATTAGAAGAAGAGACAGTAAATTACTACACACTATATTGATGCCTTTATGTAAAATAACATACCAGAAAATTTGTTGACAGTAAATTACTGTGCAATGTACTCACGACACCAAGTCAAAACAGTGGGAAATAAGACAGCAATTTAATGAACGCTGTACTGAAGAAAATGAAAACGTATACTTACTTGAGAACATTTGCAGGCATCATTTGGCTCTCTGGGGCTGCTTCAATAACTGACTGCCAGGTGTTTGTGGAGCCAGGAATAACAAATCCAAATTCAAAGAACCATTCTGAAATGTCAAAACACAGATCATGGTATGATCAAAAGAGACAAACGATACTATGAAAAGACACCATTTTGGTGAGGCGATATTTTTACAAACATGATCTGAATATACTGACTAAACTTTGAAGTCAGACATGTAAGCTAGTTTAATCACAAATAAATCATGGATTCTTTTGCTGGGCATTAAGTTATTGATCTCTCATTTGATATCTTCTTACCTTCTAAACATTTTCCTTTAAAAAAGACCCGCTGTTCCAGTCTGAACTTGTCCATTGGTTCTTTAGATGAGAAGTTGATCTCCCTGGACACAGCTCTGCATTTTAAAATTTTCTTTGGAACTCGAGCTAGTAAACAAGGGTGAGAGAACAATTATAATAACAATAAGTGATACTTTCAATGATACAAAATGCAGTGAATGGAAAGTGAGAAGCAGCAACAAATCACCACTAATTACTGGCATCATAAAGATTAATAGACTGCAATGGTTGGGGTATGTGAGGAGAATGGCAGATAACAGAGAGAAACAAAATGTGGTCAAAACAAGAGCTGAATGGAAATAAACCATGAGAAAAATGAACAACATGATGGAGACTTACATAAAGGGAGACCTACAAACACTTGTAGTCACCAACTGGAAAGAGGCAGGTGAGATCTGCAGCAAAGAACCTAAAGGGATCTAAATGCTGAAGACATAAACATGCCTGATGTACTTTCTTCTTCTTCTTCCTTTCTCTATTTCTGAGTTGCCTCCCAGCATCAAGGCAGGAAGAGCTCTCTGGAACGGGCCCCTCTTCGCCTCGAATAGAGTACTTTTCAGTATCTACAATATTTTCCTGATCCATGTTCTGCGTGGTCAACATCTGGATCTGTTACTGCTACAGTCTACTATATGTGCTTTCAGAATATCAGGCATGCTGTGTTGGGAAATGAACATGCAGACAAAGTGGCTGGTTTTGCACCACTAGGTGGTTGAATGATGCAAGACAAGCTAGATGTTGTAAAGGTCTTTTGAGAGTGAGTAAACAGTGACAGGACATACACGCACAAAAATCATCTGAGGAGAATGGTAATGTGAGGAGTTACCAGAGGATCTTGTCAATGCTCAACAGTCAGGGGAAAGGTGAGACGGATATACAGACAGTTACTGGTGCCATTACAATTGTAATTCTGCGTTTCCTGCTAGTATTTATGGGAATGTCCTGAGTGCTATAATGTTGAATCATAAATACTTGTGTGCTGCAGTTATGCTTGAAAATATTATATTCTAAACACTCAACTTAATTACACTAGTAAAATCATAATTTCAAATACTGATTTTAGTCTGCATTTGTTTTGGCTTAACAGGGTCTGTTCATTCATCTTTTAACATTCAACAATCTAAGTGATCTCAGACATTGCATATTCAGAACTCTGTAAACTCAAAAACATCTTCTACATCAGCTCTTTTCAAGTGGCGGCCCGCAGACCATTACTATTTTTATTGTATTTTTGATCTTTTTAAGTTTGGGCTCAGAGATCTGGCCCGTGGCCATCCACATTTTCAAAATGGTGGCCTCAGTGCTAACTGAGTTAAACAGCCCTGCTCTACACTGTTCTTTATCTACCACTTTCTTGCTACACATATGATTCTCCACAACAACAATTATCAAACTGAAATCATAAACTTCTATATACCTTCATGTTCTTTTTCTGGCACTGACCTGAAAATGACAAAAAGTGTTCTTCAATACTTGTGTGCTGCAGATATGCTTAACAATATGACTTTTGATATATTTAACTGAACTGTACCTGTAATATTATGTTTTCAAACACAGATTTTAGTTTGTACTTCTTTTGCTTTAATAGGGTCTGTTTATTTTCAACATATCTCCAGCAAAAATCATCACATCTCTGACAAGCATCACATCAGTGACAAACATCACCCCATCTCTGACAAACATCACCACATCTCTGACAAACATTATCACATCTCTGACAAATATCACCAAATCTTTGACAAAGATCACCACATCTCTGACAAACACCACTAAATCTCTGACAAATACCATCACATCTCTGAAAATCATTACTTCATATCTCACAAACATCCTCACATCTCTCATATACATCATCATATCTCTGACAAAATCATCATATCTCTGACAAACATCATCACATCTCTGACAAATGTCATCACATCTCTGACAAACATCATCATATCTCTGAGAATCATCCAAGTAGAAAGTGTCCATGTCTTGATGTGTCTCTGACATATGGTGCTAACTAACACAAACGTGTGGTGGGTTATGTGGCCGAAATCCCACGACATCTAGAACATTTCTTGGTACCCATTTTAAGCTGAGTTGATGTAAAACCTGTCATATATAAGTCACAAAAATCATCTTTATGTTTCATGTTTGCTATCTGGCATTGAAGGAGAGGAATAGTTGCTCGTCCAGTGCTCAATGGGTGGCACTGGCTACTGTCATAACATGTGAACATTGTTAAGCCACTATTTTCTTGGACAACCTCTTAATCTTTTGTTATTTTGTGTGTGTTCACCCTTAAAAGAGAGGTTGGCACACTATTTTGTGGTTTACACCAAGGCTATAACCACCAGTGTTGGTAACTGGTGAAGCACTAGTGTTGGTAACTAGTGTAGGGCCAGCCTTGGTAACTAGTCTAGCACTAGTGTTGGTAACTGGTGTAGGGCCAGCCTTGGTAACTGGTCTAGCACCAGTGTTGGTAACTGGTGTAGCACTAGTGTTGGTAACTGGTGTAGCACCAGTGTTGGTAACTGGTGTAGCACTAGTGTTGGTAACTGGTGTAGCACTAGTGTTGGTAACCGGTGTAGCACTAGTGTTGGTAACTGGTGTAGCGCCAGTGTTGGTAACTGATGTAGCACCAGTGTTGGTAACTGGTGTAGCACTAGTGTTGGTAACTGGTGTAGCACCAGTGTTGGTAACTGGTGTAGCACCAGTGTTGGTAACTGGTGTAGCACAAGTGTTGGTAACTGGTGTAGCACCAGTGTTGGTAACTGGTGTAGCACCAGTGTTGGTAACTGGTGTAGGGCCAGCCTTGGTAACTGGTCTAGCACCAGTGTTGGTAACTGGTGTAGCACTAGTGTTGGTAACTGGTGTAGGGCCAGCCTTGGTAACTGGTCTAGCACCAGTTTTGGTAACTGGTGTAGTGCCATGTCGGTAACTGGTGCAGCATTATAAAAAATTCTTTGGCATGAAGTGTTTCCCCATTCTAACTCACAGCATACTTCTCAACTCAGGCTTGGAGAGTTAAATGGATGGTTTCACTCAGGCCTCTTATCTTACAAGAGTTGATTATACAATATTTAATTATTTCAAATAAAAAATGACCTTGGCTCCTAGGTTGACTTAGCCTTAAAAGGGTACTAGGAAAAGTCTTGGAACGTAAAGGTGGCTGGTATGATGCTGACCATGTCAACCACTGAGTTCTGATTGGTCAACAACAATATGAATCTAGGGAATGTGCCACTGGTGTGAGAAATGTCCTTGACTGTTCTAAAACTATTGCAGAAAAAAAAATGGAGGGTCTCCTTGGTCAAGCCATATGCTTTGTGTTCAGAGGGTTGTGAGTTTGTTTCATACTGCATCATTCAGTTCATGAATGCAATTTTTACAGAGATTCCTGAGGATCGTTGCCAGAAGCTCTCGGCATGTGGCTAGCAACTCTGTGGAGAGAGACTGCAACCACACTATATGGGATAAAACCCAGTGTAATGAAGTCAATCATCTCACCTTTAACATTTATTACAGAAAATTTAAATGGAAAGTCTTACAAATCATCACTTGACTGCCACAAAATCTTGCCGCTGTCAGCATCACGGAGATTCATCCAGTTACTTATAGAGTTAAGAAATGTCACTTGAGATTAAGAAACCTTCTTCTTAATCACAAACACACACACACATATATATACATCCCAAAATGAATAATATAAATGTTTCAAAATAGGTTACTGGTGTGGGTTTCGGGGCTGTATCATGGGGGGGGGGGGGGGAGGAGGAGATAGACTTTCTGCCCCCTTAACAAGCATTTCATAAAAGGTCACTAATTAGGGGAGTTTCCTTTGAAGCCAGAGTGCATCTGTCTGAGAGTCAAGAAACCAGTTGTCTGCATATAAATAAGCTAATTCTGCAAAAGTGAATGTGCATGCAAAATTCAAGCTCTGGAAAAAGACCAAAGTAGAGAAGTGGAAAAACTAGAACTTTCCTCTAGAGCAGTGGCTCTCAACCTTCCTAATGCCGTGACTTTTTAATACAGTTCTTCATTCTATGGCGACCTCCAACAATACAATTATTTATGTTGCTACTTGATAACTTCAATAAAGTTGTATTTTGCGATGGTCTTTGGTGACCTCTGTGAAAGGGTCGCTCGACCCAAAAAAGGGGTCATGACCCACAGATTGAGAAGCGTTGCTCTAGAGGTTACAGCTGGTGAAAAAGAAGGAAAAGAAAGGCTGAGTACCAGTGTGACACACACATACACACAAAAACGACATGGATACAAAACTTGGCTGTTTGGACAAGGCCTCAGACATGCAAACATCACAAGTCCAGAGCATCTGGCTGACAGGGGAGGGAGCTGACCAGGCAATCAACAGCAAAAAATGACCTAGAGGACATGTGGGTCTTGAGACTATGATGATGATGATGAATCACAATGAGAATGTAAAGTGATCTTTAGAGAAACTCAACAACATGACAAGCACCAAAAGTATTAGGAAAAATAATATTCATCATCTGAAAAGGCACTAAACTATACATTTCAACTGTAACCCAGAGGGTTTGAACAAGTATTTCTAGGTTAATTAAAACACATTATTATCAGGACATCATGGATTTTCTGTCCAGGACATTTGGGTATTCAGGGTAATGATTACATCAACAGACTGGCTGCTACTGCTACTCTGAGTGATGAGCTACTTTATGATATACAGACATGGTGAATGCTTTCTGGGATCAAGTGGACCATGCAATAGAACATACACAGCATTTACACCTCAAGAAACTGATTCATCAAGGGATGAGCAGAGATTCTGGTTGAGCGCAAATGGAACTATTAGCACAAGAACTTTTGGCACTGTTCCAAATACCTGCCCCAAATTATTAACTGCGGAAAAACATCCCTTTGAGAGCCTTAAAAGGTTATGCAGTAAAAATACTTAGGCCATCATCACAAGTTTCTACTTCTGCTGTTATTGCTCACGTTGAGCTAAGCGCCGTGGGGAAGAATAGTTTTCGATCCATTCAGCGACTTGGGGAGAAAAAGTTAATTGTTGACATTACCTGTGACTCGCCAAATGAGTTTCAGGGAAAAAAAAAATAGATTCACTGCCAAACAAAAACCATGTTGTAAAAGGTGACTAATAAGGACTTTGCTGAAATCGAATGTGTTGGGGCAAAAGGTACAGATATCGCAGCCTAGCTGTAAACCACAACACAATGTGTCAACCCCTTTTTTGAGGGCCAAAAATAAATTATGACCTAGTGGGGAAACGAACATTGGTCACCCGCTGACAGGCGGAATACTTACAACTGTACTACCGAAGACTCAGTTTGGTTCCCATGAAATTATATAATAACGTGAAGCATAGTTTGTAGTGTTCCTATTCCATATTTTATAACTATAGCTCTGAATGGGATTGTTTTAACAGTGAATAATTTGGGACCGAAATTCGGAATAGTGCCAAACTTTTCTTTGGTTACTGAGGAAGGAGATGGACCACATGCGGGAATGTCCTGAGTGCAGTGATTTCAATTCTTTAATAAATTCATTAAGGAAGAGGCAATCAACATTTTACCAAATATTCTGAGATAAAAATATTTGAAATATTTACGACTAGTTAGAGGAGAACAGACTTTCTTCATGATATTGACAAATATAGTCCACTGATACCTTTGAATTCAAAAATAATATGTTCTCAGACGGCAAGTGAATTCCAAACTGTTCAAGTTCCAGGGCAATTTCTCCCATTGAAAATAATTGAAATTAAATTAATCTGTTTGACGGTGCAACAAACTCAAAGTTCATATACACAGAAAGCACTTTCATGCTTAGTGTAAATATCGGCTATCCTCCAAAAAATGGCCACATATTATGGCGGCCAAAAACACTCCCTGACAGGGCCTCAATCATATGTAAATTGCTAACTTCTTTCCAGTGAATATACCGCGGCAAAAGTATGATAAATTTCCGGCAATGATGTCACAAAATGCAACAAACCGCCAAGTTAAACTCGCCGCTGAGAGTTTCCCCCGCACCGTTATGCGCAGCGTGAAGTGGGGCTAGACCAGATGGCTGGGACTCATGAGCAGCAGCTACCGCATCATGCAGCTTCCTCATTTTTTTTTTTCGTGAGTCCCAGACATCTATTTTAGCCACCCTCCGCGCCGCGGTTATTACTCTCAGCGGTGAAAACTGCGTTATCAATGCGGCACTAGCCGCGGCTTGTTCCGATCATATTTAGCCGAGTTTCAATAGCGCTACAGCCACAAAGAGAAGATTTTCGGGCACTATTTGCAACTTCCATTATCACTTAGTAGTCAATTTCGCCATTTTTCCTTTTTTTTTTCGTTCTTTATTTTCGAGTTCAAGTTTTTGAATGTTTACAACACACGACCTAATGAGGCCCTGTCAGGGTGCGTTTTTGACTGCCATAATATGTGGCTGTTGTTAGGAGGATAACCTAAAAATCTTCAGCTGTCCTTTGAATCAACCCCCAAAATGGCAGCTTTAATATGATGGCATTCGAAAGAGAGCTAAATTGGCCAATTTCTTGCCATAAAATATCCAAAAATATCAGAATGCGGGTCAGTTCTATTAAAAAGTATATGTGCCGGCTCTGGATAATGAAACAAATGCTCTGACAGGGTCTCGGCAATACGTTACTTGCCGACCCGCTTCTGCGAGTGTGCCTCACTGCCGAGTGTATCCTCCGCGCTGCTACGCGCGGCGCGGATGGGGACTAAACTAGATGGCTGGGACTCACAAGCGGCAGCTACCGCATCTCCTGCAACTTCCTCCAATTACTGTACTCGTGAGTCCCAGGCACCTAGTTTAGCCCCCATCTGCGCTGCACGTAGCAGGGGGATACGCTCGGCGATGAGTATAATGGCGTTTGGCACATGCCGACAAGTCTGACATCTACCGCTGCTAAATCCTCCAATCGGAAGAACACAGTATTGCTAATCGGCTTTCATCGTCTGTAATGTCTCGAAATTGGTCAACAGTCGCTATTATCGTCTGCTAGTATCGTCATCTGCAGAAACGCTCAAAATTGTTGTCAACGGTCGGTATTTATCGTCTGCTACTACCATGTCGAAATGTTGATATTGATTGTCAAGTAATCCTAGTTTTGCCGCGATTTGTTTCTTGGCAGAAAGTCCGTATTTTAGATATACGCGAACACCGTTGTTCGGATATTTTATGGCCAGAATGTGGTATGCCGCTATTTTGGGGGTTGATTCAAAGAAGAGCCAAATCTTCTTATGGCAACTGTTGCTTACTTTAACATTCAATCAGCATTACTTCACATCCAAGCTCTTCGCTGATATTGTAAAGTTGCCAGACGCAAGTAACTATCTTGATCATAATTCGAAAATTAAAAGAAAGCCGACAAAAATTATATGTAGTTTTAGTTTAACAAATGTTGTAATTAATTTGAAGTAACGTAATTTTAATTAATTAAAATTAAAAGGAATTGTGAAGTGTGTTGATAAAAAGGATACAGTTTGAATCCCTTCATGATATCTTCAGGATTTGAGGGCATTGTAAGAAGATTTGGGGTTACACTATTGTCCTAAAATCAACATAAAGTGCTGTATTAGCGGTAATGTTCACGGCCCCCAGACCGCTGCGTCTTTCACCATCGAGATCTGAGATCTGGTTTCCACAGAATCTGTCAACAATCAAAGATGGCCGCCCAAACTTCCGCTGGTTCCGTTAAAATAAGAATGTCGGAAATAAAACAATTAATTATCTGTTAGAAACTTGTTTTGATTTAATGAATAAGTATAAATTAAAATAAAAATCATCTCAGATATACCTACGGATACTAGATAGCCTATTCTTATTATGGTGACTATAGTCTACGATTCTGTCATTTAATATCTGATTCCACAAATAGGCCTAACAGAAACCAATTATAGTTATTAAGTTACGGTTAGCAACAAGGGTGGCGAGACAGCACTTTGACTTTAGCAGTTGTTATAGGGCATAGTATACTTTATTTCTAGATTGTATTTCTTCTTTCAGCATGTTGGAGCAGTTGAAGTGTGCACCCAAATACTAATATGTTCCTTTGATTTTCAAATTTTCGTCTTGGGTGTGGCCGGAGTTTAAATTCTTTCTATGTCTAGTTGGTATTCGTACAGAATAGTAAACATTTAAGAACATATTATGTTCTGCATCCTTCAGTCAGTCTGTGGTAACTATTAACTAGGGAAAAAAAATAATCCTGCGTATTATAACAAGTAACTAAACTTGGAAATTGTTACTGACAGCTTAGTTAATGCATGAAAGCTACATTAGCTTTAAAAAAAATCAGTCGTTCCATGTTGTCGATATACCTGGCGACACAACAAGGTGCTAAAAGAGTTGGCAGCCGTTGTCGACCAGGCTAGAATGAGGGCTAACGCCAGAGCCAGTTCTAGCATCGTCCCCATTCGTTTCCTCAAGGCTGGGCAGGTTCCAAAAGGTAAGGTCAACCAAAACGCATTCGCTCCATCTGTGCTAGACTCTGCGAGGGACTGGTTACTGGCGGTTGATCTGCCAGGCCATGAACGGTACCCCGAGTTGATAAGTAAGACCGGCCTGCGACCGGACATAGTTCTCCACTCTGCGCAAAAACGGCAGCTCATCCTGATTGAGCTGGCTGTCCCGTTTGAGTCGCGTATGGAGGAGAATCACATGTATAAGCTCGAGAAATACAGTGATTTAGCAGCCGGTCTGAGGAGAAACGAGTCGTACACGGTACGGGTATTTGCGGTCGAAGAGGGAGCGAGAGGCCTCGTTTCCACTTCGCTCTACAATGTGGTGAAAGAACTAGGATTGCGCGGTAATGAACGGAAACGAACACTTAAAAAACTGGGAGAGGTAGCCGAAAGGGCCTCTAGCTGGCTTTGGACGCAACGCAACAACGTAGGGGACGGGCCTCGGTGAGCTGGTCCGGGTCTCTAGTGGAAAAGGGTTTCTCACCCCTTGAAAGTCCATCGTGTCCGAATTGTCTGCCAGTGTTCCTCTGCCACCTGCTAACAAAAGTCCAACATGTGTCCGGTAAACCAAACGTAAGCTTGTCGCTCGGTCGTCCAGGCATGCTGACTGCTTTAATTAGGCTGCCGCGGCGACTTCTTATCTCACAGTACCTTCTGCGAAACCACCAAGTCGTCTTGTCTCTGGCCGAAAGAAAAACACCATCCGGTAATTTCGTGCAGCAGGGAACCAGCCCTGAGCTTCATGAACTCAGGAGGGCCCACCTCCGAATGCGTCTGGAATCGTTGGCGGAAACGCGTGTCGACGAGGATAATTTCTACTGACGACTGGTAGATCCCTGCTGTACTTGCTCCCTGTGAGTTTATTCCTATTGTACGTGGCTAGCTCACAAGACTACCAGGAAAGACTGGTGACTCTCGGGAAAGACCTTGTGACACCTATAGAAAGACTGGCCCCCCGGTATCGCCGGGGGGATAAACTGACATCTGGAGACAGATGTCGACTGTGGACCAGGTTGATCACCCCTAACTCAGTATAATACCTCCGATTTCGTACAACCACATAGAAATATGCCCCCAGGGCCCCCCGAAAGGGGGGAGAATGAAGGGCCCAATCCAATTAATACTCTAGGTGACGACTATGCTAGCCCCCGGACTCAGATACTCGCCCAACGTCCGGGCTGGCTCTGTACATGTGGGAAAAGCTTCACGGGGTTGCATGGTCTGAGAACGCATGCCGGAAGAATGAAATGCAAGGGTGCTCCACGCAGTAAACGCTGTCGCAAAACTACTACTCCTATGGTAGTTTCTGAGTCGTCAGGGTACGACGGGCAGGGTGAACCCCACTCGCCCGGAGAGGCCCATGACGTCGACTGCGGAGGAGCACGTTTGATGATTTCTGAAGAAGTGCGTTCCAGAATGAGGTTTCCACCTGCGAGCGAGAAGGTGGTGTGGTGTAAGTTGGAGGCTACATTATGTGAGGTACTTAAACAAGATCTAAACAAGAAGTCGTTAGGCGACAAGCTTACGAAATTTGGGGATGTTATATATGAACACTGCTCCCACGAGTTCGGGACAGTGCAGAAGGCACAGCCAGGTGCCAAGCAGAATACTAGCAGGAGACAGAGGGACATTCTGAAGTGTCGGGTAGACAAGAATGCCCTCAGAAAACGGTTCAAAGCCGCTACAGGCAGCGAACGGGAGGGGCTGTACGAAGTTTGGTTGCATTTAAAGAACAAACACAGTGCCCTCTGTCGCGCTGAGCGTTTCTGTAACAACAGACGAAGAACCAAAATGGAGCGAGAAAAATTCTTTAGGGACCCGTATCAGTTTGCCCGAGGTCTATTCGAGCAACCGAAGTCTGGGACTCTGGTTGTCAGTCAGGAAGAACTTGAGCTATATCTACGCAAGATGTACTCTGACAAAAAGAGGAGTGGGCCTCTCGATGACAATCCAGAGATCCTTAGCGGTCTTAAACAGCCTTCGTTGCCGAAGGTACCATTTAAAATGGTACCTCCCCTTTGGTCTGAGGTTGAGGAAGTTGCGAAAAAGGCCAGCGGCAAGTCTGCCCCAGGTCCGAACGGTGTCCCGTACGTTTTTTACAAGCGCTGCCCGAAAATCCTAAAAATGCTTCACGTCTTGTTGAGACAAGCGTGGATCCGTAATCACATATGTCCAGAGTGGTCAAAGGCAAATGGGGTCTACATTCCCAAAGAGCAGGACTCGAAGAGTCTTTCCCAATTCAGGCCCATCTCGCTGTTGAATGTCGAGGGTAAGATATTCTTCTCGGTCATGGCTCGCCGGCTCACACAGTATCTAATGACTAACAAGTACATAGATACGAGTGTTCAGAACGGTGGTATTCCGGGCGTTCCTGGGTGCCTTGAACACGCGACCATGATTTGGGAGGCTATCCAGAGAGCCAAGCATGAGAGAACCGAATTGCACGTTATATGGTTGGACTTAGCCAACGCCTACGGGGCAGTCCCCCATAGGCTACTGTGGCGAGCCCTTCGCATGTTTCACGTACTGGCACAGATCAATCAAATGATCGAGCAATATTTCTCTAAGTTCGCTTTGCGCTTCTCTACCTCGACGTTTACCACGAGGTGGACTGAGTTGCAGATTGGGATAGCTATGGGGTGTACGATCTCACCTATACTGTTTGTCATGGCAATGCAGATCATGTTAGACGGGGCGGCCAGCTACGGACAGGGCCTTCGAATAGGGGATCACTGGTTGCCGCCATTACGCGCATTTATGGATGACACGACTATTATAACGGGCAGTGAGGAATCTGCCCGCACGATTCTGAAAAGATTGGACGCGGTGGTCAAATGGAGCGGTATGCAGTTCAAACCGCAGAAGTCGAGGAGTCTGTCAATCCATAAGGGCAAGGTGTCGGCAACCAGTTTTACGGTGGCAAGGAACAAGATCCCAACGGTTCTGGAGGAACCGGTGAAGAGTCTCGGTCGCGTTTACGATTCGAAGTTATCTGATAGAGCGGAAGTCCGGCGAATACACGAGTCACTGGCTACAGGCCTGCTCGCGATCGAGCGATGCAGGCTGATCGGGAAATTCAAGGTATGGTGTCTCCAATTCATGTTGATTCCAAAGCTCCTATGGCCACTGTTAGTCTACGAGGTGACGATGACTGCAGTGGAAACCATGGAGAAGAAAATCAACACAGCCTTGAGAAAGTGGATTGGTGCACCGCCTTGTCTGACCGACGTGGCTCTGTATTGCAAACAAGCTAAGCTGGTACTTCCGTTCAAATCAATAACCGAAGAGTTTAAAGTCGGCAAGGTAAGGCTCGCCATGCTCTTTCGCGAGTCTTCAGACCCAAATGTCATCGCTGTCCAGCCCGCTCTAAAGACTGGAACCAAGTGGAGGGTCCTCGATGCGATAGAATCTGCCCAGAACGCACTAAAATTGAGAGAGATAATGGGATACACTCAAACCGACCGACGAGGCTTAGGGCACGGGAAGGTCAATTGGTGGTCAAAGGCCTCAGCCAAAGAACGCCGAGACATGGCGATACAAACGGTGAGGGACAACGAAAACGAGGTTCGGGTCCAGAAAGCAGCCCAGCAGTCGCAGCAGGGCCATTGGGTCAGCCTGGAGAGCGCATTGCCAAGAATACTCACATGGGGTGAGATCTGGCGGACGACCCCGCTGCGACTGATCTTTATCGTTCGTTCGGCGTACGATGTATTACCGTCCGGTGTTAACATGGTTAAATGGTCTGCGACCAACGATCCGACTTGCCCGTTGTGTAAATCGAAGCAAACTCTTGAGCACGTCCTGTCCGCGTGCAGGAAAGCCCTAGGTCAAGGCCGATATACCTGGCGACACAACAAGGTGCTTAAAGAGTTGGCAGCCGTTGTCGACCAGTCTAGAATGAGGGCTAACGCCAGAGCCAGTTCTAGCATCGTCCCCATTCGTTTCCTCAAGGCTGGGCAGGTTCCAAAAGGTAAGGTCAACCAAAACGCCTTCGCTCCATCTGTGCTAGACTCTGCGAGGGACTGGTTACTGGCGGTTGATCTGCCAGGCCATGAACGGTACCCCGAGTTGATCCGTAAGACCGGCCTGCGACCGGACATAGTTCTCCACTCTGCGCAAAAACGGCAGCTCATCCTGATTGAGCTGACTGTCCCGTTTGAGTCGCGAATGGAGGAGAATCACATGTATAAGCTCGAGAAATACAGTGATTTGCCAGCCGGTCTGAGGAGAAACGAGTCGTACACGGTACGGGTATTTGCCGTCGAAGTGGGAGCGAGAGGCCTCGTTTCCACTTCGCTCTACAATGTGGTGAAAGAACTAGGATTGCGCGGTAATGAACGGAAACGAACACTAAAAAAACTGGGAGAGGTAGCCGAAAGGGCCTCTAGCTGGCTTTGGACGCAACGCAACAACGTAGGGGACGGGCCTCGGTGAGCTGGTCCGGGTCTCTAGTGGAAAAGGGTTCTCACGGTCCCTTGAAAGTCCATCGTGTCCGAATTGTCTGCCAGTTTTCCTCTGCCAACCTGCTAACAAAAGTCCAACATGTGTCACGGTAAAACCAAACGTAAGCTTGTCGCTCGGGCGTCCAGGCATGCTGACTTGCTTTAATTAGGCTGCCGCAGCGACGAACTTCTTATCTCACAGTACCTTCTGCGAAACCCACCAAGTCGTCTTGTCTCTGGCCGAAAGAAAAACACCATCCGGTAATTTCGTGCAGCATGGGGAACCAGCCCTGAGCTTCATGAACTCAGGAAGGGGCCTCACCTCCGAATGCGTCTAGGAATCGTGGGCCGAAGCGCGTGTCGACGAGGATAATTTCTACTGACGACTGGTAGATCACTGCTGTACTTGCTCCCTGTGAGTTTATTCCTATTGTCAGTATTAGGGCCATGTATGCATAAGTGGGTATAAGGTAACTATTATTAGTGTTCGGCGCGACTGCAACTATTCGACCGAATTCCGAATAGTCAATAAGTCCACTATTCGGCCCTGAAGCGAATACGAAACGAATATTCGTTACAGCCCTAGTTAAAACAGCTGGGCTATCGACAATCGGTAAAAAGGAAGGGGTCGTTCCCCTTCCCTATCAGTTAAAATAGGAAAGAGTGACCCTCCAAGTCTCCTCTGATAACAGCCGGGCTTTCACCAATCGGTAAAAACGAAAGAATGATGTTAAGAGGTCTACGATTGAAACTGCCGGGCTAAAAGGGAAAGAGTCGTTTCCCTTTTCAATCGGTAAAAAAAAACAGTAAAACTGGAAAGCCTCCTTGGTCAAAACAGCCGGTCTATCGTCAATCGGTAAAAAGAAAAGCGTTGTTTAGAAATAGGTCGCTGCAAACAATACATCAACGTGCTCAGAATCATGAAAGGATCCGGGTGGGGAGCCCATACAAAAACAATGCTTCTGTTCTACAAAGCATTCATAAGGGGGAACTTGGACTACTGCCCATAGTCTACGGTGCTGCCAACAATAACAATCTGAAAAAAAAAAAACTAGACAGCATCCAGTGCCAGGCACTTTCAATCATCCTAGGCGTCAGCAAATCAACCAGCAGGGAGGCTTTGAAAGTCGCCCTAGGTGTCGCCCCGTTGAAGCTCAGAAGGAAACAGCTAGAATACAGTTACTGGATGAGCACGGGTCTCCACCCCGATCACCCAGCCGCTAAAGCTTTCCAACCAAACAAATACCTGTGGGAAGATAGGACCAAACCGATACTAAAATGTGGGCGTCCGACGGCCTGGATTACCGCCAGGGAAACACAGAGAACAGAAATAGCCGAGGCAATTTCCTGCTACAGAAGATTCCCACTACGACTGCCGTCAACCGACACCAGCCTCGCCAGAAAAATCTCCAGAAGTTCCGACCCCGGCAAAGCTAGGAACCTAGCAGACGAGTATGCACTGGAAATTAAATACTGTGGAATATTTCTTGATATCGTGCAGCAAGTACGAAGCACACCGATTATAAATGAGGAACTACTTTGCGACATATAGCAAACATGTGACTGTCAGGGCTTGTCTCAACTCAAGTAGCAGCCATGAGATACACAAAATTGTGAAGCAATTCATCAGCCGATCGGCAGGCGAAGACACGCCCCAAGATGGCCAAACACCAAGCAGACCAGCCGCCTGACCCACCAAATGATGTCAGCCAGGGAAACCCGACCATGGGAACACCCTTCTCTCTCCTCTCACCTAGCAAGCTATCTATCTCTCTCTCACTCCTTTGACCTAGCTACATATTCCTAAAGGAGCATTCCTGCCCTCTAGTGTTTTTTTTTTTTTTTTTACAAACCGTATGTTTTATTCCAACTACTACTATACCATGTGTGGCCAGAAGAATACTGGGTAAGTCTATTCAGTCACCCTGCCAAGTACTCCCGGTTAAAACAGCTGGGCTATCGCCATTTGGAAAAAAGGAAAGTCATTCCCCTTCGCAATCAGTATAAAAGAAAGAGTGACCTGCCATGTCTCCTTTTTTTTTTTTAAAATAGCCGGGCTATCGCTAATCAGTAAAAAAAAAAAAAAAACGTTGCACTAAGAAGTCTCCTTGGTTAAAATCACCAGTCTATCGCCAATCGGTAAAAAGGAAAGAGTAATTTCCCATCCCAATCGCTAGCAAAGGAAAGAATGACCCTGCCATGTCACCTCTTTTAAAAAACAGCCGGGCTATCGCCAACCGGTAAAATGAAAAGACTGTATTTGATATTAATTCTCAGTTAAAACTGACGGGCTGTCGCTAATCGGTAAATAGGAAAGAGTCGTTACCCTTTCCAATCTGTAAAAGGAAAGAGTAACCCTGTTAAGCCTTCACTATTAAAACAGCCGGGCTATCGCCAGTCGGTAAAAGGGAATGAGTCGTTTACCTTCCCAATCCGCAAGTCTCTTGAAAATCGCTTTATTTACACTTTGGGGACTTTAACACCCTCCGGACTGAATAGCCAACACAGTCTCATTTAGACTCCCAGGGGATTGAATTGCCCTCACAGTTGTATCTCCAACCCTAGCTATGGCCCCTGGTACTCCACAGGGGGGTATTTATTCCCCCAGCCCACGCGTGTAGGCAGTCTGCTAAGAAACCATCGACACGGCTGCTTCTAGATACCAGCTAAGTGATTTTGTGTATTTGTGTAGCATTGTTTAATTTGTATGTGCTGATAAAGGCTCCATAGCCGCAACGTACACGTTTTATTTGTATTTGTTATATTGTGAAGCTTGCTAATGTACTTTTCGTTCCTTTGTAGATCTTTTTTAGTCCTTCTCAGGACTGGCAGACTCCCCTCCCAAACGCGCGGAAATCAACCCTACCAAAAACCGCAAAGCCAGACCACGTCGGACATGTTGAAGGAAGGAATAAAAAATCAGGCGAAATCATTTGGCCACAAAGAAAGCGAAATCAGGCTAAGATGGCCAAGAACCAGTCCCTAATATAGCAGGCCCTCGGACGGCTTAAAGAGGTCTAAGCTTGCAATTTTCGTTTTCTACATTCCGATTCAGATCCAGAAAAGTGGTTTCCCCTCCCTACCGGTTGACAGCAGCCGGGCTATGGCCAACTGGTGAAAAGGAAATAGTCGTTTTACCTTCCTGTGTGGGCTATCCCGTGTTCGTATCTCCTCCCTACCGGTTGACAACAGCTGGGTAGATGATATCGAGGCTGAAGCCAGGCTCTCTAGCGAAGTTGGTTAAACCTGACTTTCGCGACGGCCGGGTGACGAACTCCTTGTGGTCCGGGTTCACTCCCGGGGGTGGGCAGAAAAGCCACATTTCTCCCAGATTAAAGGTGCCTATAATGGAATCAAGGCCGAAGGGTTGCGATATCCATAGTACTGAGCCAAAGGGTTTACAACTCATGGTTTCTGGATAAGTTAAAAAAAAAATATCGAGGCTGATCTCTACTATGATATAAATATGTGCAAGTAGGGCATGAATGATACTGGAATTATAAATATGTGTGCATCGAGGGGCACATCAGGAAGGGATAAGAATGAAGGAAGAAATGATTGTAGCAACGATGAGAGCGCCTGTGAAGAAACACACTAAATACAAATGATAGCAACAACGGTTCTGATATCTCCTGCTATGCTTGTAGAAAATTGTGCGCGGGCGCGTCTAGTTAGTCACACTCGCCATCGCCATGGGCTGTGAGTCCCATGCCTCCTCATAACGCAGTATAACACTGTCCTCTGGAAAAACAAAAAGTGGTAGCAACAATGCCTTAAAAAAACATTGGATATCCCTGTTTTTGGCTTCCCTATCTGCAGTTTCCTGACTATGTCTGATGTGCAGAGATGTGTGCTCTCAGTGACCCAGACAAGGCTACTGTTTCATAGTGCTCACAGAACTCAAGTATAAATAAAACCTTAAAAACATCAATTATATAATTGGTTGGGCGAGCAGTTAATCTGTACAACCCCCCCCCCCCCCCCCCCCCAATCTTTCCCACCATGTATAGAAGTTTTCTCTCTCTCTCTCTCTCTTTCTCTATCTCTCTCTTATTTTTACACATCGAAATTTAAACATGGAAAAAGGGGCGGGGGGGGGGGGGGGCAAATTGTCTAATCCCTCAGCCAAGTCCTTCTGTATAAATAGAGAAGGCCGTGCCACAGCCATGCCCCGGCGCCCCTGGCTAGCAAACACCTGAATAATACCTGTCAGCTGTATGTCACGTGGCAAATTTTCAACATGGAGAGTCGCACAAACGGAGCTGACATATCAACACACGATAAAGAAATCCTCAAACAAATATTTAGTACCGGTTTACCATGCGCTGATGACATTGACAGCGAGGAAGTTGAAGATGGTAAGAGAATATAAAGTACTGAAGTATAGTTTGACTTTAAGCAAGCTGTATGTAATATATTTTAATTCAATGCTAGTAGTATGTATTGGCAGTATTGCTATTGTTGGTTATCCTCCGACTAACGGTCGGCAAAGATGGCGACCGCAAAATATCCAGTCGAGCCACAGTCACGTGTCATGTGTTGTAAACAGTCGAACGATTGAAGTGGAAACTAATAAGGATCGAAAACTAATAAGGAGCGACAAAAATGTTATATCAAATCGACTAACTTACCGATAATTGTATGCCTTCTTTATATCTAGAAATTATGGCACAGACGTTCTAAATAGTGCTCGAAAATCTGGTGTTTGTGGCTGTTACACCATTGAAACTAGGCTAAGTACGATCGGAACAAGGCGCGGCTCGTACCACATTGGTAACGTACCTTTCTTTTTAGTAGCATCCACAGACCGGCTATTCTTCGAATAACGGGCTCAAAAGTGACAAAAGATGTCGACCAAAAACAGGGCCTCACTCATGTGTCAATTTCGAACTTCCATCGTCTTAAATTGCGGTTTTCCAGCGACTACTGCCACCGCTGAGAGTAGCCCCCTTCACAGTTAACAGGTAACGACAGGGTTAGTGAGATCATGATGATGGCAACCAGAAGCAGTCAGTAGTTTTAGCATTATTGATGTGATAATGAGAGAACTGACCAATCAGTCAAACAGTGCCATGCCATCTCTTTGGTCGGTAAAGGTTTGTTGGAAAGTGGAACTCCCGATCTTGTCCGTGAGTTGTAACTTAAAGGTTACATATTCCCAGACTGTTCTTATTTGGTTATTTTCTTATTATCAAGTTTGTCTTCATTATTATGATTAGCACAAAAGAATATCTAATTGAAAGCATATTTATCTTGAAACTGAACTGCTAACTATCACTGGCACTGTAAGTGCCCGACATGGTCCTCCACAAGAATTCAGGGATGAAATTAGTAACCGTGGGAACTGGATGTTAGAGAAAGGCTGTACACATAATCAGTACTAAATTACATACATAACAAAGACAGCAAATAAAATAGTTAGCACACTTAAAGAAAATGGCGGTAGTGCTTGATCTCGACAATGCATATAACAGAGTTAGATACAATATTTAGAGGACCACAGTGATGGAGAAAAATGTCAGTCCCTTGTTGGTAAATTGGATAGCAGTTGTCTTGCATTCTCGTCAGGCTGCTCTTCTTCTAGGTTCATGGACCTCAGAGTCACACATTGAATCAACTCAAAGAGAATGCTTAAGGATGACATATCGTACAAGGCACACAGGAAAAGAGGAAAGAGGAGTAGCATTTGAGGATGAATAATAACACTGTGGAAAGACTGTAAACTTCTGCAAAAGTATCAAGTGTCTGTGGTCAAGGTAACTAGAGGAGGGTGAATCATAACATTTGATCTCCCTCGACACCTCAAGCAGTGATCTTCTAGCAATAAATTATACAAGATAAATGGAAACACACTGCATTTGTTTCATTGTACTACCAGGTGTCAGTGACTATGTTTCATGGTGTTATTAATGCATTTATCAATCTGATCACAAGTATTAACTAGGGTATGATTTCTGTGGCAGACAGTTTATTTTTTTTAAACAGCTTTTTGAGGTTTGTTGGCAGAGTATGAGAGCAGCACTATGGAAGAGATTGGAGCCTCACTACATTATATTCTCAGAGACAGTAATATGTATGCAGTATCCAGCAAGAATTGTGAAGACAGCATTTTTAAATAAAAAGTGAATTGGAAAATTAGCAAATGGGTGGCTGCTCCATTTCTGTGCCAGGGAAAACCACACTGTCCCTTGTAGAAAAAAATGGAGGCAGACTGCATTCTCAGCAAAACCAATAGCAGTTTTAGTCAGTATTGTTTCTTACGTCTGTACAGCACCTGTTGAAGATAATGAGCAGATACGGGCTGCCAAGGAGCTAGAGGTTCAGGGTGTCAAGGCTGCAGAGGCTGGAAATATTGATGCTGCCATCGACCTTTTTCAGCAGGCAGTAAGCACGGCCCCAGAATGGCCGTCAGCATATAACAACCGAGCCCAAGCTCTGAGGCTGAAAGGTGACATAGAAGGTAGAATTTTTTTTTTCTAATTGAATGTTTAAAAAATATTCCTGTCTTCTTGAGCTTGATAATTTTGTGCTAAACAAATGATTACCATTCAACCAATTCATATATACTACCTTATTTAGCATCGAAGATGAGTAAATGGTGTGTAGCCATAGCATATGCCTTATATTACTTGGCATAGAAGGTAGGAAGATGTCTAGTGTAAACAACACATCTATGCTACATTATTTGGTATATAATTCAAGTATAATGTGCCTAGTGTAGCCAATACATATATGATACATTTCTTGGCATAAGAGTAGTTTGATTTGCAATCATGTCTTAACTAAAAGAATAACCTAAGGATGTTAGTATGTTAGATTTAATTCAACAAGAGCAGACATCATAATTTTTTGACCAGATAGGAACCTTTAAACAAATTAAATAAGTTGTTGCACTCCAAGTTTGAACCCAAAACCTTCGGGTCAGCAAGTGAGTATCTAGCAACTATAATACTATAACTACTTTTTGGAAAAATGAATAATAAAATAATTGGTGACACTCTAGATCAGTGGTTTTCAACCTTTATCAGGTGGAATATATTGCTAGTCCTCTGTGTGCCACCTAACAATGACAAAATCAACAACTGTTGATTTACTGCCCAAATACACATGTGATGGTTGACATTGTTTTGCCTTGATGACATCTGCTATTTTTGATCTGATGTTGGACTAATCATAGAGGAATACTAAAAAAAAATGTCTTAGTATAACATATTATTACTGATACAAATAAACTCAATTTTAAAATTGCTTGATGCCTCCCTTGAAACTTCCTTTCTTGACCCCAGGTTGAAAACCACTGCTATAGGTATTGTTTTATGGCTTGATTGGAATTGTCTGGAGCAGAATCCAGTTGCTGTCAATGCAGAGGTCCACGCGGTTATATGTGAAAATTCAGATGAGGTGGATGTACTGATCTTACACAGATTTTTCTGTTGTACGAGGACAAGAGTGCATGGGCAAATACTGTGTGCTCTGCAGGGAGAACAGTCCAGGAGGCCAGTGGTGCTTTCAATATGACTACTTGCAGCATGACAATGGAGGTGATGGTGGTAACACAAGGGCTATTCTCACATGTGTGTGCTGAGTGATTCCATAAACATGATCTGGCGGACTTATTACGCAGACAGTGGATCGAGTTATTGCAAAACTCCTCTGTGCGTGGAGTTGCCTTCATCTTTTTACCAGGGCATGCAGGTGTTGTTGGCAAAGAAAGAGCCGACAGATTAGCGGGCTCTACCATAGTTACAGAGGGCAGACCCATGGATAATGCCGACATTGTTAACGTCACTAGAGAGGAACGAAATTTGGAGGATTCTGGTAGCAACACTTCCACATCTTTGCTAAGAGTGCAGGAATTGGGAATAAAGATCGGCACAGCCAGGCACGAGAAGCACACTGGATGCACGAGAAATCTTGTCAACCAATATAGGACTGGGACCATCAACTGCGGGAAGCTGATGTATATGTTGAAGGGGGGATCTGAGCACCTATGGACATGTCTGGAGTGTCGTGAAGATGACCCAACTCATAACTCATTGTTTTATGTTGCAGGTGCAAAGGCAGACTTAGATAAAGCACTGGAGTTGAGCCAAGGGTCAGGAAATGTTGCATGTCAAGCATTTACTCAGAGAGGTCTTATTCTCAAGCGAGAAGGTATGGAAAATATTGTTGCAGAAAGATGACCACACATCTAAACCATGTAAAATACCCTGTGAAACATAGTCAGTTTAACTGTAATCACCCACTCTTACCTAGAAAATAGTGACTAATTCTTTTTATTCTAAATTTTTAAGAATCAGTACTGCCTGTGTGGGTTCCCGAGCCCCATTTTGGGCAAAAAGAATAGACCTGCTGCCGTAAAATTCATGTCCTAAAAGTGAACTAATTAGGTGGGTTTTTTTTCAGTCGGAGGGCATCTGCCTAAGATGTGAGCAACCAACAGTGTGCATATAAATAAATGAGATCTGTAAAATGGGTGTGCAGCTGAGAAGGCTAAGCCGGGCCAACGAATGCCAGCAGAAGTTGGATGTTTCGGCCGAAAGGCGCAAACATCACAGCCATGCTGTAAACAGACACAATGCAATGACATCTTCAGATGAATGCAGAAGAAGAAATGGATATGCACACAAAACTCAAGTTCTAGAATAAGTCTCAAGTCCAGAATGGCCCAAATAACTCTACATTTCTCTACAGCCAATGAATTCTAACAAGAAAAATCTAAATATTTCTACCTCCTAACCCAAAATATCAGTGTGTCAGACTTTCAACAAGCACATAATTTCAGTATCTGTGGATATTTTTTTTTTTTTACATGCACACTGGATCTCTAGTTTTTCCATCTGTGTTGAAAAGCTAGGTTTTCAATCTCCTCATCCAGGAGGTTAAGGAAAGGAGTGGTATCATTTAAAGTCAGTGATTCTGGAACAGAAGATGCTAGTGGGGGACCAGCCTTGTAATATCTGTTTGAATGGACCTTTCAGCAGCACCTGCATCTGGTGTGCTCACACGTGCACAGAGAGTAGCAGTAGTAGTAATAGTTGCAATGATAGTAGTAGTGACAGTAGTAATAGTGATAAATTACTGTAATAATAGTAGCAATAATAGTAGTAATGATTGTAGTGGCAGAGGTAGTATTATTAGCAGCAGTGGTAGATGTTGCAATATTATAAGTGTTATAGTAGTACAGTTGTAGTATCTGAAGTAGTAGTGGTGATGATAATAGTAGTAGTGGAGATAATGGCAGTAGTAATAATGATAGTATTGGCAATAATGGCAGTAGAAAGGGTAGTAGTGGCGGCAGTAGCTTCAGGCTTCAGAAATAAGGTGGTCAAAGTGATACAACGAGATAAGATCTGCCCCCAGACATTGTTTCATGATCTTGAAACCCAGGCCTTACAAATTCAAGTGGATCAGTCACAATTATGATGGTTTGGACATGTGTGCAGAATGGGAGAGAATCGGCCACCACATAAGATATGGGAGGCCAAGAACCAGGGAATCAAACCATCAGGATGACCCACAGATCACTGGGAAGACAGTCCCTAAATGACAAGACTGGAATGGAACAAATCTAATAAGAAAACTGTTGTCAGATAATTTCTGCAGATCTTTCTGGCAAACATCTACACCTTATTGTAGAGGATGAATAACTAAGTTAGTGGCAGCAGTAGTAGCAGCAACAGAAGTTGTTATATTGTAATGTTTTGTTCATCCTATGTTGTTCACAGGGATGTGTATTCTGTTGTTTTTGTGTTTAGGTATTTTGTTGTTGTACTTGATACTTTTCATTATTTCAAATAATTGTAGTCTTCATATTAGGTCTGCCATTCATGTTTACATTTAAAACCTTTCAGTAGACTTATTTTATAGAGGTTTAAATACCATTGTAACTATGAGTAATTAATTTAACTGTGTAAACTTTTTTTTACACATTCAATTTTTTACAACTGAAATCATTTGGAACTGTCTCCAGGACTGTGTTAGCATACTGCAGTAGATTTGCTAGTTACTGAAATAAAAAAATAAAAAATTTCTGTTTTTTTTTTCTCCCCCAAAATAGGAAATGATGAAGGTGCCAAGCAAGATTTTGAAAAAGCTGCCAACTTGGGTAGTGCATTTGCCAAACAACTGCTGGCTGCAATGAATCCTTATGCTGCACTCTGTAATCAGATGCTCTGTGATGTCATGCACAAATTGAGGTCAGGACAGGAAGAAGCAGAAGTATGATTGACATAAAGCTGTTGGAACTGCTGCAAGCTGCTGATTTTCTCTTTTACCATGGGATGCACAGAAAGATACAAAGATATTCTACAGTCCCTGTTACCTTTATTGAAAGAGTGGTGATTGTTACCTAACTTCAGTGTGATTGTTACCTGACTTTGGTGTAGTGTTACCTGACTTCAGTGAGATGTTACCTGATTTGTGTGTGATTGTTACCTGACATCAGTCTGGTGTTACATAACTTCAATGTGATTATTGCCTGACTTCAGTGTGATTGTTCATATCAGTGTAGCATTTAGACAGTCACATTTTCACTATATCTCGCCATGAAAAGAAACCACTAATAAAATATTTCATCTTTTTTGAACCACTTATATTGATAACAGTGGACCTGATGATGGTTAATGTCAAAACATATTTGGCTGTCCTTCTTCACATATTATGGCGGCCAAAAACAGGGCCCCAGTCACATGTAAATTGCGGACTTCCGGTGACTATACCACCACCGCCAAGAGTATCTCCCTCGCCGCTACGCACGGTGTGGATTGGGGCTAAACTAGATAGCTGGGACTCACGAGCAAAACTGTAGGAGATGTGGAAGCTGGGAGATACTCTCAGCGGTGGCGGAAGTGTATTAAGTGAATTTAAGTCGCTAGAAGTCCGCAATTTACATGTGACTGAGGCCCTGTCATGGTGTTTTTGTGGCCGCCATAATATGTAGCCGTTATTCGGAGGATAGCTCACATTTGACTTATTCCATTATATTCTAGATGTTATTCACTCACAATATAAAAATATATGTGAATTCATCTATACATTATTTTGATGTATTCATATTATCTGTATCAATTGTAATTAGAACAGAAATTTCAAATTTCACCTTTATGGCTCCCTGAAATAGAGTTCTGCTTTGTTTGTTTCAGTTTAAACACTTCATGTTGATTTTAATAATCAGAAACAGTCTTTTCTCATGGTAATCTCTAATTCTGATAAGAATAATTATGATTTTATACTTTATGAAATTGTTTGTTCGTAGAAGTAGCAGTATAATCAATAATATCCGTTGAGCCATGCCCTTTCACCTCTGGGACCTAGGAAAGAAAAAGTGCCAAGGTCCTTAACTTTTATTTTTCATAAAATTTGCAACCATTTTCCATGGAAAAAAAAACCATATAAATGAAAGGGAGTAATCAAAAATGAATGCAGGCTAGAATTAACTGGATTTCGACTTTAAAAATCTATATGTGAGAATGACTTGATCCTAAAACCTTGTTGCCAGTAATGCTGTGACGAACAGAGAAAATATGACCTCAGAATTTCTATAAGTAAAGCCAATTTTTGTCAGCAAGCAGACTCTTCCTAATGCCATTTTCAGTCAAGTGTGATCATTCCAAATTAATTTTATTAGCTGTACTACTTGTAATGTGACATTTACGGAGAGATAGCACTGACCGAAAGTGCCGGGTTTCAGGCAGCAGGGTTAATATCATTTATCTAGAAACACTAACCCAGTTAACAAATTCCGGTGAAGTCGGATGTGTTGGCCGAAGAGCAAAATATCTCAGCTATGCTGTAAACAATACAATTATGTCACTCGAGCAAATGGAAAGAAGAAGAAGAGGATATTGTTTATCAAATTAATTCTAAAATGCATAACTTTTATCTGAATTTGTTTTATTTATGTTCAAGGGAAATATTCTATGCAGTAATTTCTCCTTAGGCATGGATTTATGTTTAGAAATAACATAAGGTGGGAGTTTGTGTACATCAGCAGCAATGCCTGGCATTTGGTGCACTGTTGTTTTCTGCTTTTTTTTTTTTCACCAGCTGTAGTTTTACCTGGCATATAGAAGAATACAGGACTTTCATCTACATATTTCCGATTGCGCCCATTCTGTAGTTGTATATTTTCTATAACTTCAGAACATTTCCTTGAAACATTTTCTCCTGGTAAGTGTTCACGTTGTTGTTCACCACCGAGTCACGAGCTAATTTTGTGCCATAAGGTGACTTGCCCAGCCATAACTGGCTTTAAATTCACTCTGCAGAATTCCTATTTTTCACTGCTTCAAGGAACTACTGTTTCAGTTTTCATCACAGAAACTTAATGTGAACACAGGTGTGCGGCCTTACACAAGTAAATATGGTAGTTTAATGATTCTGTGAGATTTGCTTCTTTCAGCCCAACATATCTGCTTTCAGCCACCACTTAGTCTCTTGTTATGACATGCTTGTTTAGGGACATGGGGTCTATTTTTCCCTTACAAAATTGGGGCCCTGAAACCCACATGGGGACAGTTTAATTCTGCACAACAGTGTTTATTATTAAGAGCTTTTTATAGAGAAAAGAAAGATAGGTAAGATCTATTCATTGTAAAAACATTGTTGACATGAGTTGTGTTTCAGTTAACCAAAAGTCTGTCATGTTAATTCATTATTGTAGACCAGTTTTCAGAATTCAGACGTCTGATGATGCATGTAGCTATTTTGAAATTAATTTCCTTGTTGCTTGTGTATGGTATAATGTTGTACTCTAAATGTTTAGACCAAGCTACAAAAGTAATTGCTATGAGAAATTAACTCATTTAGTAATTAATTTACATTCTCATCTGTATAATCCGGCAAAGCTGACAGATTGTTTCAGTTTAACTCTGTATAAAAACAGTTTGCTTAATTGTTTACTTCTAGAGCTTTTAGCACATTCAGTAACCACACTGCAGATAATCTAACAAACTGTTCTAGTTAGTGAATTCAATCTTCCTGTAAACCCTGCTGTTTGCCATTGGTCATAATGACTGTCAGGCCTTCTATCTCATATACTAGAAATCATTTCTGGTAAAGATGTTCTTTCATGCCAAAGTGTCCAGCAGCCTCTTGCTTGGTCTCTCCTGATCAACTTTCACTATCATGACATTCCTCAGTGTTTCCTCACTTGTGTGGGTGTGTGTATGCCTTTAAAGCTGCCTAAATATCATTTTTCTAAAGAACATATATCTCCAGTTCCTGCATAATTTGTTCCCAAGAATAATTTTAGTTGTATGTGATGGGTGCAGTCATAGTCAGTAAACTTTGTATCCAGGATTTTGTCTTGTGTGATATTACTATTGTGTCTCAAGACGTCTTTTAAAAAAAATGCTTAAAAATTAAATTTTTCAAATTCATGCAAAATTTATTACTTACATTATTATCCATATTAATTATGGTTTTCATTAGTGTTGTGTACTATCTGAGTTACACAATAATCAGCTCATGACCAAGTGTCCACAGGTACGGATATTCACTTGACACACTGAATTACGACACAACGCTGTCAACTCCATCATACATCAGGTTTATTGAAAGGACACACTACTCATAGATGTAGACACTAATCCTTATTGGCATTCACACATAGTCCTCACTCACTCTCTCTCAACATGTAGCCACCTCTCCCTACAACTATAGCTCCGAAGGTCTACAGCATCCCACAACTCTTGGCTTGCCGTAAAGCAGAACAGGACGAATTTGCCTATCAACTGGACCTTGATATTACTTCAGCAAACGGCTGACTAGAAATGGACTTCACTTGCTCGTTCTCCAGCATGTGCCCACAGCACATCAGCCTATCGGAAGTCTCTGATGACCGACAGGACTTCTAACACAAGTCCCCTCTAGTACACAGCTCTCGTCGGCATCCCTCCTGTTCTGTTTCCATGGTGATACTATGTCTCCTTGCGCCGTCACCCAGAAGTCACTATTGTAGCATCCAGCACCCTTGGCCTTACTTCACCAGCGGGACTATACCTTCGACCAGTACCGTGACCTAGACTCTCACTCAGACCTTGCTGTCTGACAGTTGCACGGTAGTCTGTCTGTCTCACTCAAGAGATATGGAATCTGACCCTGACTTGGTCTCTTTCTCTCTCTCTGCCTTGGACTCACTGACGTAAAGAACTCCTGTGCTGGGTGTGTACTACACCCGCACTTCCCCAGTGCTTTAGATCTCTGGCTGCAGCTCACTCCTTGACTGACTGACTCTGTCCATATATACCTTTCCTGTTCCATGTGGGCGGCTACGGCTACCCAAGAGTCACACTCATGTGGGCATTCTCAGGAATCATGCTTATGTGGGGGTTCTCGAGAGTCACACTTATGTGGACGTTCTCAGGAATCATGCTCATGTGGGGGTTCTCGAGAATCATGCTAGTGTGGGGGTTCTCAGGAATCATGCTCGTGTGGGGGTTCTCAGGAATCATGCTCATGTGGGGGTTCTCAGGAATCATGCTCATGTGGGCGTTCTCAGGAATCATGCTCATGTGGGGGTTCTCGAGAATCATGCTGATGTGGGCGTTCTCAGACTACACGAGAATCACTCATGTGGATGGCTCAGGCTTACATGAGAATCATGCTGTCACATAGTTCAGACTTTTTCGGTGCGTCTCGTTAGCCATGCTTGTCAGCCCCCACAGTAAACCCACGCATCTGCCTTCTCGGGACACTACACTTCTCACTGGTCCCAACATTGTCTCCCCCTCACCACTTGTGAGGCCAATGTTGACACTTTTAATGGGACATTCCCTTAAACTTCCCGAAAATAACTATCATACCACTCTGTCCCTTCTCACAATATTACACTCTCCCAAATCAGCACGCATCTATTAACAGGGCAGCATCCTCTTTAAAAAAAAACTTTAACAAAATATGGAATTCTAAATTTTTCTCATTTTTTCTTCCAATGCTATATCAATTCTAACATATACCAATGAAAGTTAAAAGCTAAAGTCATGGAACAAATATTTAGTATACAAACAAATGCCTGAGAAAACTGATGAATATTAAATAGGATGAATTTAAGAAAGGCGAAGAAATCAGTGACGTTTTTGGACAGCTGCCGGTATCAATTGTTGAAAGAGAAAGAAAATGGAAAAATGGTTAGTTGCGTATCCTTTACAGGACGTTGCAGAACCAACCCCAGCAGCCCCTGGCTGTTGTGTGGTTTCTCTAGGCAATTTACGTCCAGTAGTTTGCCATTGCTTTCTGGATGGTCGGCCCACTGACAAATGGAGAAATATTTAGCACACAAAATGCCAAAGACATTTGGATACTAAAACAATGTAATGTCTTGCTTCTCCTTGTAACTGTCTTCTTATCCTGCTGATCCAGTATCTTTTTTCCTCCTGCCGCTACTCTTTTTTTTTTCTGCTCTCTATTTCTACTCTATACTTTTTTTGTTTTTTGAGCATGAAGTTACTAAATTAGAATGAAGAAAATACTATTTGTATGTCACAAGGAAACAAAATTAGATTACATTTATTGCAATCTTTCTTCAACTGTTTGTAATTTTGTTAGAGAAGATTGTGTTGGAGCTTGTAAGGCACACTTCTAATTCATAGATGAGAGGTCTGAGCCAGCTTTTATTTATGTGGGGTTTAAAATCATCAGATTCAGTTCAAGAGGGTGAGGCTCTGTCTACCTGCTTGTAAGCTTTTTACTACACATTTGTCCAAGGCATTGGCTTTGCAACCTACTCTTTGTAAATTCTAAATGCCATGGAACTGCATTAATAGTTTGCACACAGTTCTCTGGTTTTTCCTTAGCTGTGATAACAAGGTATGTGATCTAACTACTCAAGAGAACAGTTATTCTTAGGGGCTATCTTTTTATTTTGTATTATAGTCTGTCTCAGCTTTCTGAAGGTTTGACAATACAGTGACAGATGAAATCTTGTCTCTTCACTAATCTTTCAAACGAGGCCCTGAAACCCACACAGGAAGTTGCTTGTAAGATTTGTATTTGACTTAATATGACTACAACTTCTCAAGATCAAATTATGATGTAAATCAGACTGCCTGCCTAACAAGCATGTCATAAGAGTCAACTAATTTGGGGCTTCCTTCGAAGTCTGAGTATATCTGCCCAAGAGGCAAGGAACAAACAACTAGGACTTTCCGCTGGAGCTCACAGCTGTTGAATGAAGAAGAAGACTTAGATTATAAGGTGTTCAAAAGAGACACTGGGAGAAGCAAAAATGAAACTAATTCAAAAGAAACACTGAGGTTTAAAAAAAATTAAACTCAGATGTAAGACAGCAATAAGATTATATTGACAAAGAAATATATAGTGAGCTATTCCTATGTTCAAAAGAGACACTTTAAGGTTAAAAAAAAAAGAAATAATTTGAACTAATTCAGTCAATATAATGACTGAGAAACATATAATAACTTGTTCTCACTCATTTATTTATTTTCCCCCCTCTGTGTCGCTACGTGAAGGTTTAACCACCCATTCAACTTCAAGAATCTCATCTATGATAGCTATCTAACAGGGCAGATGCCAGAAACCCCATTCAACCATTAGGTTATATTAGGACAGCCAATGACAGCCAGGTGGGTGCGTTTAACAAAAATATTTAACAAAAACAAATGCTGCCTGGTGATTTTGTTTTTGAAGTACTACTTGTGAGACCTTGCTGTCCTATATAGGCACATGTGTAGTTACTGAGACAGGTAAACTTTGATCTGCACAACTTTCTGTGTCATCTGACTATATACACAGCATGCCTCACTGGGTGAACAGAAGTCTCATACTTCACTAGATGGATATTGGATTGTGATTCACATTTGCATTAAAAGTATCTTGAACAGGTTGTATCCCCTGAACTGTGGTGTCATGTCATCTAACTTAATATAATCCATCATCTAGAGCTTTATTCGTTATAAAGACACAGTTTTGGCAGACTGCACTTAATTCTCATAAAAATTATAAATCTGACTGAAATTATTTAATGTTTAATAAATTATTCGAGTATTTTGTAAGTTTCTCGATACTATTTTAATTTAATGGAATAACTGATTTCCTCTTTTAACTCTTTGAGTCCCAGGGGGTTTAGCATCACAGGCCCAAGGGGGTAGTCAAGAAAGTAATAAAATCGGCGCATCATGCGTTCATTGGGCTTCTAGGTAGGAACCTATGAACGTATGATGCGTTCCTTGGGACTCAAAGAGTGAAAAATCTATATGTAATAGTGATCTAATGTATGTTATTTTGTTTCCTTATTTTTAGCTACTCTAGCTCTGCACTCTGCAGCACAGCTAGGATTTGGCCAGCTTTTCTCTGCACTGGTGGGGCATCTCTCACCACCAATAAATACTGCAACAGGCACAAACATTTTGGTTATTAGCCTCAGGTCACCACAAGAATCTTCTAAGTTTTCTGAACCCTCCTCAACTTTCAACACAGTGATGTCTGCTGATGTTCCTGTTCTTAATTGTCCAACCTCTCCAAGTTTTCCTGAAATTTGAACACAAATATTATGCAAAAAACTAGTACAACACAAAAGGTCCCCAAGCTGTTTGCCTTGTGCTTTTAGAGAGCTGCGGTGGCATAACAGATGCTCACCTGCTGGCCCAAAGGTCTAAGGTTCAAATCTGTTGGGGTTAAAGGGGCCCATTTAGTTAACCTTTTCAGTACCAAGCAATTTACCATGAAATGAATGTTGTTGAAGTGACTGGCAGACTTCTATGTGTAGCTTTAACTCATTCATCCAAATGCTACTTCATGTTTTTATACATCTAAGGAATAACCAACAAACTCACTGTGAGTTTCATGTTACTGTGAAAAAAGCTGTCTTTCACAGGGAGGGGGACATAATTTAGCCTGAGGATTTAGGGCCAACTGGCTAGTTCAGATTCTACAGAATGGAATTTAATTTTAGCCTCTGATAGAAAAGGATCCCATCCCCTAAGGATTCAAACCCAGGTTTCCCAAATAAAAGCCTATCACGTTTCTTTGGAAAAAAAAAAGTGCCATTAATAACCAGTCCACTTCTGTAGTGCTAAAAACAAATGCTTTAATTAAAAAAAAAAAGGTGGCAACACTGCCAGAAAAAAAGGCCTGGTTCTAACCAATTAGCCAGAGACTTTTCGCTGCAGAGTATTAAATGAGTTAATACTAATGCATAACATTGAGCACAAACAAACAAAACAACTTATTGCCAAGATATTAAATTAAAAGGACCCTTTTCATTATGATTTCTAACTGATATTAGTGTGGATGATTGTATACTGACATTAGTATATGATTACATTCCTGATATTAGCAGCTAATTATATACTGATATTATTAGGTGATTACAAACTAATATTAGAGGAAAATTACATATTAAACTTAGCAGACGATTACATATTTATATCAGAAGATGATAACATATGTATATAGAATTTACCACGGTGTTGCAGTTTGATGCCTCAAGGTCATGAGTTCAAACCCTCATCAAGTCTGATTGTCTTCCAAAATGATCTTGGTTGTCAGGTTGACCCAGCCTAAAATGAGTATCAGGTAAAGTCTTGGGAAATACTGGTGGCCAGCAGGATGTTGACCACATCACACTGGACGCTGACTGTATGTTGACCACATCACATACTGAACACTAACTGTATGTTGACCACATCACACACTGAACACTAACTGTAGGTTGACCACATCACACACTGAACACTAACTGTATGTTGACCACATCACACACTGAACACTAACTGTATGTTGACCACATCACACACTGAACACTAACTGTATGTTGAACACATCACACACTGAACACTAACTGTATGTTGAACACATCACACACTGAACACTAACTAAATGTTGACCACATCACACACTGAACACTAACTATATGTTGACCACATCACACACTGAACACTAACTATATGTTGACCACATCACACACTGAACACTTACTGTGTGTTGACCACATCATACACTGAACACTAACTATATGTTGACCACATCACACACAACACTAACTGCATGTTGACCACATCACACACTGAATACTAACTGTATGTTGACCACATCACAAACTGAACACTTACTGTATGTTGACCACATCACACACTGAACACTAACTTTATGTTGACCACATCACACACTGAACACTAACTGTATGTTGACCACATCACACACTGAACACTAACTATATGTTGACCACATCACACACTGAACACTTACTGTGTGTTGACCACATCACACACTGAACACTAACTATATGTTGACCACATCACACACAACACTAACTGCATGTTGACCACATCACACACTGAACACTAACTGTATGTTGACCACATCACACACTGAACACTAACTGTATGTTGACCACATCACACACTGAACACTAACTGTATGTTGAGGACATCACACACTGAACACTAACTGTACGTTGACCACATCACACACTGAACACTAACTGTATGTTGACCACATCACACACTGAACACTAACTTTATGTTGACCACATCACACCACTCGCAGGTCGACCCAGCCTCAAATGGGTACCAGGATGGGCTGTCCTGGGAAAGTAAAGACAGCCGGCGTAATGCTGACCACATTACCCACCGAGTGCTGATGGTCTGTAAAAATATGGGCACTCTTCCCATATGCCCGATACGCCTAAAGGTGTGAAAGGGATCTTTACTTTTTTCTTTTTTTTTTACATCACACACTGAACACTAACTGTATGTTGACCACATCACACACTGAACACTAACTGTATGTTGACCACATCACACACTGAACGCTAACTGTATGTTGACCACATCACACACTGAACACTAACTGTATGTTGACCACATCACACACTGAACGCTAACTGTATGTTGACCACATCACACACTGAACGCTGACTGTATGTTGACCACATCACACACTGAACGCTGACTGTATGTTGACCACATCACACTCTGAACGCTGACTCAATGTTGACCACATCACACACTGAACGCTGACTTAATGTTGACCACATCACACACTGAACGCTGACTCAATGTTGAACACATCACACACTGAACGCTGACTGTATGTTGACCACATCACACACTGAACGCTGACTGTATGTTGACCACATCACACACTGAACGTTAACTCAATTTTGAACACATCACACACTGAACGCTGACTGTATGTTGACCACATCACACACTGAACGCTGACTGTATGTTGACCACATCACACACTGAACGCTGACTCAATGTTGAACACATCACACACTGAACGCTGACTCAATGTTGACCACATCACACACTGAACGCTGACTCAATGTTGAACACATCACACACTGAACGCTGACTCAATGTTGAACACATCACACACTGAACGCTGACTCAATGTTGAACACATCACACACTGAACGCTGACTAGTCTATAAAATATAGGTTTGCATTATATACTCAACACACCCAAGGGCATGGAGAAGGGTCCTTTACATATTTAAATGAGTAGATGATTATATATTTGTATTAATAGATGATTGCATACTGATATTAGTCGGTGTGTAAAGACAAATGTTAATAGATGATTACATATTTACATTAGAAGATGATTCCATATTTATATTAGTAGATGGTGCTTTTTGTTCTTTGCGTATACTGGCTATAAACTCTGGTGGAAAGATCCGGTTGTCACCCACTTCTGGACTTAGTCTTTGCCAGAACTTGAGTTTTGCATGCACATCTGTTTTACAGATCTGTCTTTTTTTTATGCAGACTGTTGGTTCCTTGCCTCTCAGGCTGATGTACTTACATGCTGATGTTGTTAGATAATTAAACACCAAATTTAGTAGATAATTACATACTGATCATGTTAGATAATTAAACACTAATATTAGTAGATAATTACATGCTGATGTTGTTGGATAATTAAACACTAACATGAGTAGATAATTACATACTGATGTTTGTAGATACTTACTTACTGATATTAGACGATTATTACATTCTGATGTTAGTAGATAATTACTTAGTAATGTTAGTAGATAATTACATACAGATGTAGAAAGTTACTTACTGATGTTAGAAGATGATTACATACTGATATTAGTAGATAATTACATACTGATGTTGTTAGATAAATAAACACTAACATTAGTAGATAATTACATACTGATGTTGTTGGATAATTAAACACTAACATTAGTAGATAATTACATACTGATGTTAGTAGATACTTACTTACTGATGTTAGTAGATAATTACATTCTGATATTAGTAGATAATTACATTCTGATGTTAGTCGATAATTACATTCTGATATTAGTAGATAATTACATTCTAATATTAGTAGATAATTACATTCTGATATTAGTAGATAATTACATTCCGATATTAGTAGATAATTACATTCTGATATTAGTAGATAATTACTTACTTATGTTAGTAGATAATTACATTCTGATATTAATAGATAATTACATTCTGATATTAGTAGATAATTTCATTCTGATATTAGTAGATAATTACATTCTGATATTAATAGATAATTACATTCTGATATTAGTAGATAATTACATTCTGATATTAGTAGATAATTTCTGTTACAAACCTATAGCTGTAGCTGGTGTCGACGTCACTGCTGCTACTATATCTTCTAAAGGCATGCCTAAATGTAGCATTTTGGTCATCACACACAGAAGGTCATATGCTGGACCATTTATGCTGTCACTGTGCAAGTCAGTGCTGATGATGTCTGGCCAGAAACCCTCTGTTGCACACTGTTCAGCTACAATCCATGAAAACGATCCTGCAAAGGCAAGACAAAAGAAGACAACTACAGCACATGCTAAATGTTAAAGCACAAATACAGGGTGATTACACAATTATATCTGTATACTCAGGTCTGCCATTTTAGTAAATTTCATCTTGGGAATTACCAAATGAAACCTTCCCCACTGACATTACTATAAATTAATGAAATATGATGTTGGTGCCTTCCTGACTTTCCAGAGGATAGTTTTATACTGTGATGTAAAGAGGCATGAAAACCACAGCCAGTTAAGGCCAGGGATGAAGTGCCTTCTCTCCATGGCACAAAGCATGGATAGTATAGTAATGACCATGTGTGGACAGCTATATTCATTTATATTTCTGCCTATGATATTTTGCCATTTTATGTTTCTCAGCTTCTCTGTGCATTGCCCATGTTACATATGCATCTCTTCTCAATGCAGTTTATATCTTTATAATTGGTGATTCCTGTTGTAATATGTAAAATGTATCTTCTATAGGATATAGATCTTAGGAAACTTCTAAGATTATTGTACTAATTTATCTATTTATCAGTGTTTTCTGTATTTAATTGAATATTACTTTTGTGTCCTTCATTTCTTCTTAGAGTTATTATAATTTATATTTTATAATACTTTTCTAGCCCTGTTAGCTCATCACATACAGTAACAACATTCACTAAATGCTGTAGATTCTGTTTGTTATCTGCAATCAATGGTGTGCCATCTTCACATCTTATATAAGATCTTATGCATGCAATGGTGATTCCTCTGTTTATAAAACTTCTCATATTTTCACTACATAATAAGAGAGAGATCTGCATATTTTACACGTACATCTGACACAAAGCATACCTCTCTTGAAATATTCTTAATGTTATAATTCATTATTCCCTTTGTATGGTAGTTTGTTATTTCCTATATCTGTTATTTGCAAGTCTAAAGTATTCCCCACACAACTGGAGATCTGCATGCATTTTTATCTCGTTAATCTGTCCTATCTTGTGTAAACCTTCATGTAGTCAGTGAAACAAAAGACAGTAGTTATCACATACCTGTTAATGTTATCAGCAAATAATTTTAAAGTTAAGAAGACTGACTTCATTGCACCTGGTTTTATATCAAATATGGCTTGGTATCTTTGCAGAATGGCTAGCTGCTTTATGGAAGCATCATACAGAGCATGAATTCTGTAGCACCAGCAGAGATACCTGGAGACCTCTGTCAAAATTACACCCATGAACTTTACTACATGTCTGTGAAATGAACCCACAACTTCGGAGCTTGAAACAAATGGCTTGACCACTTTTCTAGGGAGACCCCCTCACTCTCAGCAAATAAACATGTTTTTTGTACACTGCTCATCATCATCCCTAAATTGTTTTCCTCCCCTTATTTCTTGAAGTATTTTTTCCAACCCTGTGGATGATGATTATTAGTAAAATCTGTGCAGTCTGACTCCCTATGCTAACTGTTTAATGCTGAACACATTCAAATCAGTACTGTTGTATGGAGCAGAAACATGGAGAACAACTAAGGCAATTACTAATAAAATACAAACATTCATTAATTGGTGCTAGGGCAGAATAGACAAAATTAAAAGGTATGATAGAATCACTAATGTAGAGCTTTAGGGGAGAACTCGGCAAGTTTCAGTGGACCAAGAGGTGAAGAGAAGACGATGTTGGACAGGACACATTTTGAGAAAACCTGAGAACAGTATTACTAGAATGTCTTGACACTGGATTCTACGGGCAGAGAAATCAAAGAAGACCAAAAACACTTGAAGAAGGGAGCTAGAGAGTGAAGTTAAAAAGATGGAGAGAGCTGCATGCATTAGCAAAGGATATATGACTTGGCATGAATTAGTTGAGGGTCTATGCTCCACTGGGGGTTAGAAAGAAAAAGAAGAAAACATTCTAAAGCTGCATACTTCTTAAATAAACACTGTATGTGAAACAAACCAAATAAATGAAACAAAAGCAAAATGCTGCAATGAAGTGTCACTGATACCTTGTCCATGTCCCACATCAAACAACACTCCTCTGCTCTTGGCATCCACACAGTGACTGTCAACCTTGCCTGTCTCTGGATCCAACAAAGAATTGTAGCCATGAAAGCAATGAGTGTAGATGTCTCCTGTCCTCAAACTTCCAGGGCAACCAAGTTTACCTTTGTGTAAGAGATTTAAAAACAAAACTGTTCATATACAGCAGCTCACCAACATATGTGATTTAAAACCCATTGTTCAGAGACATGTTTTATTAATGTGTCAGACACAAAAAAACAACTGTTTTACCAAGTGCACTTTACTACGAAAAAGACATTAAAAAATTGACAGTATAGTATCCTCAGCAATAATGATATTTTTTGATACTTTTAGAAATAAATTACAAATAAATAAATAATACACTATATGAAGGTTGGTATAAACAATGGTGTTTATGCCAAGTTGAAGAAAGCTATCCCATCGTTATTTCTTATAAAATGTATGTGTCATTTATTGCAGCTAGCATTATCACATGCTTCATCTGAATGTTTACCAAGGATTTTGGAATACGTTATTGCTGAAACACATAACTGGTTTTCCAAATCATTTGTCAGACAACAGCAATAAAATACATTATATACAGCCTTGAATGATGGTTCCACACCACTGAAAATTCTGTTAGATTGCAAAACTAGATGGTTATCAATTCAACCAGCTGTTGAAAGAATTGTGAACCAATGGTTGGAGTTGAAGACACACTTTGAAATAAAAAGACAAAGTGAAAAGTGCTACACAGCTGAAATACTGTATGGAATGTACAGTGATGAAAAAAGTTTGGCATTCCTTCTCTTTTTATGACCTGGAAGTGCAAAAAGTTAATAAACTGTTCAAATCTAAACATGTTGATAAAGTTAAATTACTTGACGATCTCATTTTGCTATTTTACTCACTGAAAATCTAGATGTTTTGAAAAATATTTCACTCTTTTCTGTGAGCAACATACTTCAGCCAGGAAAGGACATAGCTAAATATTGTAAAGTTATGAAATTTGTAGGGCTACTGATAATAGTGTCATGAAAGCAGAATACCAGTTGACCAAAATAAACTTAGTTGAGTGGACAAACAAAACAGAAACTGAAGCGTTTTGAAGTGAAGTGAGACAGTTTAAAGATACCTCATCAAACAGTCCATTCTGTAAGTTATTTGAATGTGCCATGTCTGCCATGATACTACCCCAACTCAAATTCTGAGTAAGAAAGAGTTTTCAGTGCTATGAATTATATCAAATCTAACCCAAAAAACAGGATGAAATTTGACCTCTTAAATGCTTTCTTGACAATAAAATTCGGCCTGATGAGAGTAGGAAAATGCTTTTCCACTTATCAGCTCCCTAATGGTGTATTAAAAGAAACTGGAACAGCTAAAGCATACCAGAGTCATTTTGGATCTGAAGCTTTAACTTCATCATCCAAGCTAAGTTTATCCTGTGGAACTTGTGAGGCAGACATCAGTGAAGATGAGGACATAATTCTATAGGATAGCTATGTAATTTGTGACTCTTTCCATTTAGATGCTTTTTCTAGATGTTTTCCACTCAAATTTAGATGTTATTAGATATTTTTTGACTCGGTTCTGGGTGTTTCTTGTTGTCAAAGAAAAGTGGAACACTGGGTATAATGTATAAACATAGACTAATCCATGTTAACATTTATCACAACAAACATGCAGATATATGCAAACATGTATAAACATTTATCACAATAACCATAATATTATAAACAAACCTATAGGCCTATATCACAATAAATATACATATACAAACGCATGTCAACATATATCACAACAAACATAAATATACAAAACCATGCCAACATATATCACAACAAACATATTATACACATACAGAACCATAACATTTATCACAACAATCATTAGTCATATACCAACCCATGTCAATATATATCACAACAAACATATTAAAGACATACAAACCCATTTCAACATATATCACAACAAACATAAAACATAATGTTTATCACAACAAACATTATGCATATACAAACCCATGTCAACATATATCACAAAAAACATATTATAGACACACAAACCCATGTCAACACAAATCACAAATAACATATTTTTAAAAATAACAACATTTATCACAACAAACATATCATTATTCATATTCAAACCCATGCCAACATATATTACAACAGACATATTATAGACATACAAACCAATGTCAACATATATCACAACAAACATATAAAAACATGTCAACATTTATCACCATAAACATATACATATATACAAACCCATGACAACAGATATCACAACGAACATATTATACATAAACAAAACCATGACAAAATTTATCCCAGTAAACATATTATACATATACAGAACCATAACAACATCTATCCCAGCAAACATACTAGTAGTTAAATAAATTACCTCCATGTCCAATAGTGGACATAGCATGATGGGTCATCAACGGAACTTGACAGATGTTAGCAGCTTCAAGAGCTCTCCTGCAGAGAAAATAATTTGGAGCCACTCCTGAGAGTTCTGGTCCTAAACAGCAGAAGATGGCCTATATGGAATTACCAACGAGGACTTTTTGTTTGTCTTATTATTTGTTTGTTTCATGCTCCAGTTCTGCCACCCAATGCGTAGGGGCAACTGAGATAGTAGTGTACTGTATATTTCAGGCATAAACACTGGTCAGATGTAGAATTAACACTCACATACAGCTGATAGTTTTTAGCGTATAACATATGAATTCACATTAGATGGTCTATTTAGGATCAACACATGCATAACTGGTCAAACGCAAACATGCACACAAACTCACTCACATGTGTACATTATGTGTAGGATGGTCTTATTTAGAACAAACAAAAACAGGATAAATATTCCATGTAGGGCATCCTCTGTTCTTTAGAAGTGAAAGTAAATAAAGTAAAGATCCTTTTTCACACCTTAGATGCATCGAGCATTTGGGAATAACGTCCCATATTTTTACAGACCAATCGGCACTGGTGGGTAATGTGGTCAGCATTTGCGCCGGCAGTCTTTACTTCTCCAGGACAGCCATCATGGTACCCATTTTAGGCTGGGTCGACCTGCAACGCCCCATACCATGATAAAAATCTGCGCTTAGGAAAAAAAGTAGGTTATTATTATGCATGGTTGTATGTCTGTGTGTGTTCCTTCAACAATGATGCCATTTCTCATACTTGCATGTCTTTGAGTGATTTTATACACTGTGCAGATTGTTAATAAAAAAGGTCAAACAAAATGGGGATATTTACCTGTAGACTTCTTCTTCATTCTTGCCATCATCACAGACAGCAGCTGCTAGTCGCACCTTGATCCCGACAATCATGTCCCTGTTCTCATTGATGACCCTGACACAATCCTGCACATTGACAACGTTTAGAGAGTCACATTCGCCTCCTGAACCTGCAATCCCAGAGTTCACCATCTTTACCATTTTATTAGAAAGGTAGTTTCTGAGACTTGATTTCTTGATCTTATAGAATATCATCTTCGCTGCCAAAGTAATCCTAGTTAAATGTTTTAGTATTTATTTTTTCCATATGTGACACTTAGAAAATCTCAACATAGTGCAGGAACACTGTAGCATCAGTAAGGATCTCACTATACATATACAAGTCCGATGTACCATAAGAACATTTTTTTTATAGAAGGTTTTCCAAATTTATAAGGATATACATGCAGAGGCCTGTTTGGCCTACAAATTGTGTTGAAAACTAAGAAGGAATTTCAAAATTATGCTTCTCTTAATATTTGGCACCCTAATCTGAGCCATGTAGGTGTTCAACTCAACATGATATTGTTCTTGAACATGCTTTGTTGTGTATCATATACAGTATGATACCTGGCACCTCAGTTATGTGTATATCCATTGCAGTAAAGATGACATATTGTTTATGTCCCCTTAAATTCTTCAGAATTTTTTGCATTTTATGGAGCCCTTTCTGTGTCGGTGGTCATAACATTAGGTCAAATCATTATTTTTGTTATCTTTTCATTAAGTCTAATTATGTTAGTCCACCAAGCAAGAAGGATTTTGACTACAACAGTATATGCCAACATAAATAAACTACAGTATCAAAACAAAAAAAGGTTTAGATGCAGCACTAAATCAGCTGAAACCTAATGTTGAAAAAATACAATGGTGACGAAATTTATGGCGAAGTAGTGAAGATGAAAACAGGCTTGGGGGGATGGACTCACTGCACCCTAACAATAAAACTAATTATAGGTTTAATGTAATAAGGAGCAAAAGGAGCAGATATTGCCGCCTAGCTGTAAGCCACAACATGACATACCAACCACCCTTTTAAGGGACAAGGCAAAAAAAAAAAAAATGATGTGTCCACTGAATCAAAGATCTGCCTGCAGCACTTGGCTAGCAGCAGACACCTACCAGTGGTCACACAGCCAGCTGAAGCCAGCCCATGTTGTGCTATGTGCAGGAAACAGTACAGATGAGCTTTACTTCTCTCAGCGATGAATTTCCTCAAACCAGGGAATGTTGATGAGCCTAAAGTAATTGAAAATTACGGTTATAAAAGGAATTAAGCAATAGTAATTGAGGACATAGTTTTCATAAATCTAAACTACTGAGTCTTCTTCCTCTTCTTGTTCTTCTCTTCCACCATTGACCTCAGCAAGGTATTGGTAGGAGATGTAAAGATCATTTGTGCGCTTTTTCCAATGCATTGTACAAGTTGGTATTTGTTTCTGTTAGGTTGCTCATGATGATGTCGCTCCATGACTTGTGTGGTCTTCCTCTTTCTCTGTTTATTATATTTCCTCAGCGTGGTTCTATGTGACAGTTGGTACCAGGGCATTCTTGTCAGGTGTTCAAACCGTCTCATTTGTTGTTCTTTAATGAACTGTTTGACTGGTTTCAGTCCTAGTCTTCTTCTTATTTCTTCATTACTGATTTTATCTCTTCTTGTCACACTGGCAGCTCTCCTAAGACATCTCATCTCTGTTGTTATGATCTTCCGCTCATTAATTGTAGTAAGGGTCCATGTTTGGCACTGGTAGCACAATATTGGCCCACAAATCGTTCTTATCAGATTTGCTTTGGTTGACAGAGGTCTCTTTCTTTGCTTCAGAAGCTGTGTTAATTGTCACATAACCTGACTACTGAGTCTGATTCAGATATAGATGATTTTGCTGCAAAACACTGTTGATTTAGATCATAGTATAAACATTAGTCATTGGAAAAAGCAATGTCTAATTACTGAATATAAAATTGCTTGATAAAACTCCAAACAGCCAACACCCCAAACAGCCAACACATGCTGGGGTTTGCTGTATCCTGTAATGGATGTGCAAGAATTGTTTTATTTTATTTGACAGACCATTCTCAGTGCACAATGAACCATTCTCAGTGCACAATGAACCATTCTCAGTGCACAATGAACCATTCTCAGTGCACAATGAACCATTCTGACCATAAGTGTTTGGATCGTTACCTCAGTATATTCCTCAGACTACAGCCACTGATGATATTAGTTAAAACTGTTATTGTTTTTGTACAAAAATGGAATAATTTTACAAAGCATTTATTGTAACTCCTTATTTGCTCTGCTCTGGACAGCTGTCCCTGTAACTCATGCATCTGTTCGAAAAGAAGAAAACAAGAAATGAAGTAATGAGAGCTGAAGGTGTGAGGCAACATACAAGAAAAGCACGATGAAGAGGCAAGTGACATATTTGGGACATAATCATCGAAGAGGTCGAATAGGTAAATCATGTTTATATATATGATGACCGTTTCATCAGGACAGTATCATTTTTAGGTAAGCCCAGAAAAAAAGTCATTTTTCCATTCAATGTTGAGTATCGAGAGTACGGTCTGGGTCTACATATTAACTGATACCATCCCTACGAAACGGGACTTATGGTCACCCTATATAGGATTATACTAGGCAAGAAGGACAGAGAAAGTGAATGAAAGAAACAGGCAGAGAGACAGAACGATAAGGAAATATGCGCATACAGATGTGAAGAAGGCTTAACAAATTAAAGAAACTCACTGTGTCATTGTCTGGTAATATAAACTCTTTTTTTTTGAGCTAAAAGGTGAGTTAGTAATAAACCCAGTTTATTTTCTTCAGCCCCCCCCCCCCCTTTTTCCCTTGAGATTCATCCACTGTGACTGACCTCTTTCCAGTCGGTGACTTCAGGTACTTTAAGCCTGCCTTATATTATTCCAAGGGTAGCTAGAGTTGCTCTTAGCAAGGCCTCTCAAATTCAAAGATATTAAACAAAGAGAGGCACATTTGCCCTCCAGGTGGAACTGAAATACTTCGCCCATATAAAACATCATATGATTTGAAGAAAACATTAACCGAGGGAAGCAGGGGCAGGAGATTACTAGCACCACAGACTAAGGATATCAAGGTAGGTAACCCACGACTGTGAGTAAGTAACTCAAGATTGTAGGTAGGTAACCCAAAATTGTAGGGAGGTAACCCATAATTGTAGTAGGGAGGTAACGCAAGATTGAGGGAGGTAACCTAAGACTGTGTAGATAAACCCATATTGTGTGCAGGTAACCTGAGATTAAAGCAGGTAACCAGAGACTGGTAACCCAAGATTATGGCAGGGTAACCGAATATTGTGTGTAGGTAAACCTCTAATAATGGGCAGGCTATCACAGATTGTGGGTAGGTAACCCATGACTATTAGAAGGTAACCCAAGATTGTGGGTAGGTAACCCAAGATTGTTGGCAGGTAACCAAGCGATTGAGCCACCGCAGCTCCCAACAGCACGTATGATTATTCAAGCTCTACTTGATCTTTATACTAACTCCTAACGCATCAACAAATCCATATTTCACATAATATACATAAAACACACACTCACACAAACGACTTACCGGCACTGCCAGCATCAACCAAAGTTGTCACCCCTTTGGACAAGCAGGTCCTGTCGATGTTGACTCCCAACGGAGTGACGTACTCGTAGGCATGCACTTGACAGTCCACTAGGCCGGCAGTCACAACACACCCTGACGCATCAAACGATTCAAATTGGATCCCTCTATCAGGGGGTTCCCCGATCCCAGCGATCCGTCCGTTGGCGATGTACACGTTAGCTACTTGACTGATATTTTGGGATCTGTCTATGACTAACCCGTTGCGTATTACAAGGTTCTGTGCGGTCTCCATCGTGTCTGTAACAACTACACAACTATGAACTATCCGGTGATTGTATTAGTAGGTCATAACACGCACACTTGGCCTAGTTTATCAGTTTTCACCTGGGTACGTATTCTTGTCGGCCTCTGGGGCCTGGGGTTGTGAATACAATTCAATAATTCCGCCATACACGCTTGATTCAACCGCAGGTGATTTTACACTAGACCGCTTGGCGCTGATTTTGATTTTACAAAATGTAAGTGTCCACCATTCGCTAACCAGTGCGAGGCTAAATGATATGCAACTAACTAATTTAACTTTATTAGGTTTTCAAACCTATGAGGCAAATGGAGTATGTACTGCGTTTCAAAAGTTTTGTCCTTACATTTTAACAAATATCTCGTACGCGAATTTTAGCGCAGTCGATAGGAGACTCGCTTTAAAATCCAGCTGCGACTCGCTGCAGCCCACCGTCAGTGTTCGAAACCGGGCGAAGAAGAAGAAGAAGAAAAGAAGATGAAGCAGAGGAATAAGAAGAAGCAGACGAAGAAGCAGACAAAGAAGAAAAAGAAGCAGAAAAAAAAGAACATTTTCCGCGTTCACCATCTGTAATCTCACTTGGAAAGGTCTGGGTGTTGATCCACCTCTTGAAATTAGTTTTGTTGTAGAACCTAGGTGTTGCGTGCTCATCCTTTTTACATGTCTGATTTATTTGTATGCAGACAGTTGGTTCATTGCCTCTCAGGCAGACACACTCCGCCTTCGAAGGAATCTTCTAGTTCGTCGACTCTTACAACACGCTAATTGGGAGGCAGTGGGTCAATTCTTGTTTTCCTCACAATGGGGCCTCAGAACCCCCACCGTCAAGTTATGTTAGGACCCCTGATAACAGCCGGAGTTCAGTTTTAAAATTAACGAAAAATTACGTCCTATATTGGGACTGTACACCCATTGCTGGTATCCTAATGCGACCTGTAACCTGTAGCTTTATTGTGTTCTGGTGATAAATTTATGATATCCATTTATGACGGTTTTTTATTTTCTGTCGGTATACAGTACGGGTACACCTTTTTAACTCTTTCAGTCTCAGAGGGTTTAGCATCAGAGGCCCAAGAGGTGGTCAAGAGAAACATAAAACCGGCGCACCCAGTGTTAATTAGGCTTCTAGAAATGAACCTATAAACGTTAGATGCGCTCCTTGGGACTAAAAGAGTTAATGCATAATTTTTAGCACTAATATAAAATTAAAACATTGTAGTGAGTTCCGACACCTTTTTCTTAAATACATTGTAGCAAGTACCGGCACCCTTTTCTCAAACACATTGTGGTAGTACCGGCACCTTTTTCTTAGACACATTGTGGCGAGTACCGGCACCTTTACTCTCTAGAAAACAGTCTTGTATTTGTGTAAGTGAATGGCCCTTTTTACATTAGTGACACTTGGGGCATTCGATACTAGATTGATATTTGTTTAGACCTATCGCCAGACAGCCGATGATGTGGTCATTATCTGGTTGCTATTTTAGGTTGGGTTTACATTCAAGCTAAGGTCACTTCTAAAGAGGACACTGGATTCGAACTCAAGCATTTAAGACCGACCGGCGATCGTTTAACCACTTCGCTACCGTAGCTCCCGATCATCCATGTATCATATAAATAAGTGTACATAAAACAGTACACATAAAACTGAGAGACGATGAGGAAAAAAGGAAGGGTGGATAGGAAGAGACGGACAGAGAAGAGATAGAGACGAAGTAAAAGAATTAAAGTGTGCTAGCGTAAGAGTAAAGTGAAGAAACGTAGAAAAGAGACTGTGAAAAAAAGGAGCGAGGTGGCGAGTCAGAGGTAAAAGAGAGTATATAATTACGAAAGGGATTCGGAGAGAAAAGAGAGGTTTTGAAGGACGTAAAGTTGTGAAATACTGAGAGATCACTGGGCAGAAATGCTAGAGATAGTAAAAGATAGATGGAGATAAGACCAGGGGATGAGATAGGAAATTTGAGATACAGCTTTGGGATGAGAGCAAAAGACAAGAAGAAGGAAGGGTAGTGAGGAGAGAATGCGGATATATGAGTAACAACTGCTGTTAGAGATATTGGGCGATTATGAGCAGGATATTCCTGCAGTAAGAGACAGGAAGATGGCCTCAGGAGAAGACGACAAGGACGACGACGATGTAGAGGAGGAGGAGGAGGAAGAAGTAGAAGTAGAAGAAGAAGAAGAAGAAGAAGAAGAAGAAGAAGAAGAAGAAGAAGAAAGAAGAAGAAGAAGAAAAGAAGAAGAAGAAGAAGGAAAAAGAGCAGCATGATGAAGAAGAAGAAGTAGAAGTAGAAGAAGTTGGGGAAGGAGGAGGAGGTGTAAGAGGAGTGGATAGAGGAAGTTACTAAAATAACATCTGGTAATGGTATTTGAAACTACTGGTGTCCTGATCAGATGTTGTTCCTTGACAGTTAAGTCTGTATATCCGTTAATCTCTTGCAGTGCATTTGAAATAATTCGTGGCATGACAGACTGGCTATAAAATCGCTGACGACCTTCCGGTCAATATGATAGTTAGGAGGTTTACTGTTTTTTGCCATGACCAGTTTTGCTTCTGACGATGGTTAGTCGTTGCAGTTTTCCCCATAAGTAGACTGAAGGGATATAGTTTCGTCGCCCAGATACTTTACTAAAGACATGGCGCGACACTGTGAGCTGCAGGTTATATTAAGATTTTTTTAAAACTGACTGTGCTCAGCGTAGTTTGTATTGTGAAGTGCCAATTCATAAAATGGTGAGTAGCCTGTTGCTTGAAAATTGGTGGTGCCTTACGCGGATTATTTCGTATGCAACTATCGATCTGTTGTTAGTGTTGATTCCATTGTTTCACAAGAGGCCACGATGGACGTTCTGTGTGGTTTTTGTTTGCACAGGACGGGGGATGGGAGATGCTATGAAGTTGAAACTGCGTTTACCTTATTACCAGTACCAGTCCTTTCTGGAGACGCCACGGAATAGTGACTCCTCTATGGACTACTTCGTGTTAATCTTTATGGTTCCTGGAGATTACATCGTTGTCATCTATTCTCCTTGTACACGAAGTAAAAAACCCCCAAATAACTGTTCTACTTTTTCATGAACACGTTCCTTTAATTTACTTTTCCAAAGTTAGTTTAACGGGCTGGAAAGTTGGGGGGCGGGGCGGGGGGGGGGGGGGGGATGATAATTAATGAATAATTCGGAACACTAAGATACACCATAAAGCTTGTGTAATCAAATCAGAAAATGATACATTTAGTTTAAAACAAGAAAAGACGAGTTTATGTTTTCTTGACAGTAACTGCAATCCTGTGTGAATGCTATTGGCTTTGCCGAAACTGCCAGTCTGTTCCAAATTTTTAGCAAGTGTTTGCAATGGTTATCCTGTCTGATTCTCATGGACATATGAATAGATAGAGAAATTATGACGTAACTTATGTTTTGGCAGTCCATTTCTGGACTTTTGTCTTGTTCCAGAACTTGCGTTTTGCATGCACACCGGAGTTACAGATGTAAGTTATTTGTAAGCAGGCTGTTAGTTCATGGCCTCGCAGGCAGATGAATTCCGGCTTTGAAGGAAACAACCCTAAGTAGTCGACTTTTACGTTATGCTTGTTAGGAATAGTGGATCTATTCCCCCCCCCCCGACCCCAAAATGGGACCCATGACCCCAAGGAGAAAAAAAAAAACACCGTGCATGGGAAGTTGGAACTCTGCGACGTCTAGAAGAAAAAATATTAACTAACTAACTAACTAACTAACTAACTAATTAACTAACTAACTAACTAACTAACTAACTAACTAACTAACTAACTAACTAACTAACTAACTAACTAACTAACTAACTAACTAACTAACTAACTAACTAACTAACTAACTAACTAACTAACTAACTAACTAACTAACTAACTAACTAACTAACTAACTAACTAACTAACTAACTAACTAACTAACTAACTAAGTATCCAGTTAATTAATTTCAGTTCTTAAATAGTCACATTCATTGACTAATTTTAACTAACTAACTAACTAACTAACTAACTAAGATTCTAACTAACTAACTAACTAACTAACTAACTAACTAACTAACTAACTACTAACTTAACTTGACTTAACTAACTAACTAAACTAACTAACTAACTAACTATCCGTAATTTTTCATCCTTGACATTCATCAACAATTAGCTCACATTGTTGGACAACTTTCTACAAATATTTCACATATATTGACTATGTTCCATAAGGATCGCACATAACTTTTTCACAATTCTCTCTAACTTTCACAATATAGATCTTAAACCACTTGACATTGGTTGTTTTTTTTTCAAGTAAACACTCACACCTATGGACAGTTATCTACAAGCATATAGAGTTAACGTTATTCGACAATTGGTTACAACGTAATCACACCTGTGGCATTTATTTATAACTAATTAGCCTTTCAAGACAATTCTTAGAATATTTTTCGACGTTTGATAGTAGGACTTTACATTTATTGACATTTGTCCTCAGTGTACTCACATCTTTTGACATTTCTTCATTAAGATCATAAGATGTCTTGACTTGTCTCAGAGAAAATCTTCTTAAACATTTCGACAATTCTCTACAACGAGTTTATATTTCTCAGGATTATATGATTGCGAACTCTCACATCTGTCGAAACAATGCCAAATTCGAATATCTCGGCATTTATCTACAGCTAGTTCACATCTTTTAACGTCTTTCTAAAATCAGTCAGGATTTCGCGACATTTTCTAACAAACAGTTCTTTATAATATGGTGTCTTTTTGGACAACACTCTACAGTGAGTTTATATCTATAGACATGTCCTTTGAATGAGTTCATATCTATCAACATACTCTCATCTCATCACTAGCTGCCATCTGAAGAACATTTTCTTACAACTCGCTGGGACACATCGCATCTTCTTACGACACACTCAATATATCGATATCTAAACAAGAAAGAAAAAAAAATCTGTAGAGATTAAACAAATGTTTTGCAAGGGCACA